GTTCGTTATCCAAATTTCTTTTATCCTTGTCGGTCCAAATTCTCGTCTTATGATTAACTGTCCGGTTTCTTCTATTTTGTTTCTTTTCAATCGCATTTTATTCGCGTCATCATTTTCTTTTTGAGGTATATTTCTTATCCATTGTACTTCTTTAGTATCTGTAGTCAATTTCATAGTCTTTATTACTTTGAATTCATCTTTAATTATTGATTGATCGCTTTCTTCTGTCTGTGAATCTATTTCCATATTTTCATTTTTATTTTCGTCATCAATTATTGAATTGTCGTCTTCTGTTTGCGTATCTATTTCCATGTTCTTATTTTCCTCGTTTACACCTGTAGTAGGCCAGTTCTGCTGTTCTAACGTGTCATTTGTACCATCTGTTGTCATCTGAACCCTTGGAATTCGCGATAAGGCGTCAGCGTTTGTGTTAGCAATTCCTTTCTTATAAATAATTTCATAATCATATTTTGTAATTGCTGAATATCTTCCTTTAAAATTAGTAAAACAGATTTTATCTCTCTTGTTTGCACTAGATTGCAGATAAAGTATTTTAGGTCCTAATTTTAAAATACCTTTTTCTAAATCCATTTTAAATTTTTGATCGTAAAGTAAATTCATTCCAATTAAACCGTTTTCTCTAAATGCAATTTCATCTTTTGTAACTTGAAAAACTGATTCTTTACCGAAAAGTTTTAAACAAATAGAATATTCGAACATTATGGGATTGTTTTCGATTGTTAAAACATTATGAGGTGCGTATTTCTTAAAGTTTTTTTCTTTTAACATACTTTCTTTTATGATTGATATATTCGATCCTGTATCAACTACAAATTTTCCTGATGCTAACTTATCAAATTTTAAAGCCACAATAGGTGTGTCGTGTCTTCTTCGTTCTCTTGGTATCGGTGGAAAGTCGTGCTTAGCGGGTTCTCCGATAAAGAAAATTCTTCGCTTAGCTGCACTCGGTCTGGTGGTTTGGTGTTGATTGGTCGTGACTGAAAATTTTGAGTTTTTTCTTGACGTGGTGGTAAACCTTTTAATTTTCCTCTACAAACATCCTCTGTATGTCCTAAATTTTTACAATGGTTGCATTTTTCTAAATTTCTCGGTTTACTAAATCTTGGTGTTGGTACTGGGTTTTCATTTCTTGGGTTTCTGGTAAAATTGTCAATTCTTCTTTTATCTTTCAAATTCACGTTAATTTCTGAGGCAATATTAAAACATTCATTCAGCGTTTTCGGTTTCTGAGGACGGATTCTAATTTCAAATTCTTCACGTATATTTCTTAAGAATGTGCTGACACTTGCATTTGTTTCTATTTCCTGTCTTACGAAAGTTTCTTGAGGTGTTATATTCATACTATCTATAGACTGCCTGATTTTATCCTGACACTGCATAAATCTTGAGGTGAATGACTCTAAACCTTCATTTTTGCCCATTATACATGAATCGCGAGCCCTTTGAAGTGATTCTAAACTATCTTTTTCTCCAAATAAAATTCTTAATCTCTCAAAAAAATCGGCAAAGGTTTTAACTGCATCTGCTCTAATTGTATTTGCTGCTCTTCCTACTAATTTTTGTGCAATTATTGCATGCAGTAATGTTAATCTTTCATTTCTTTTCGTTTTTCTTTTAGATAATCTTATTAGATGAATGAAATTTTCTAAACCGCTTCCGTTAAATTCTGGTACTAATTTTATGCTTTTCCCAAAATCATATTCTGTAACTTCTTCTAATTCTTCGTGATCGCTATTTAATTCGTTTTCATTTAAGGGTAAACCTTCCTCTCTTCTAACTGGTTGTTCCATCGCTACTAATCTCGTTTCGAATCTCTCCATTTTTGCAAGAATATTTTGCAAATGGTCATTTGAAGCACTTGATGTTTCTGGCATGACGTTTAGAATATTGTCTAATTTTAGTCTGTCAGTCAGTGATATTGAAAGGGATGAACTGTCTGTGTCTATTGTTTCGTTTTCCCTACTTTCTCTATATGAATTTAAATCCAGTTTAATTTTATAAATTTCCTATATCGTTTCGTACAATTTTTATTTTATATCCGTTCGCGTTTTCTAATTTAAAATTTCATTTCTTGCAATCCTGCTACAAGGAGTACACAAGAATATGAAATTCGTTTTTTTTAGTTTATTGTCGATGGCAATACTCATAAAATCACGGAGTATACCAACGCTTTAAAACAAACTTAGCCACACCCTATGAAGGTCGCCGTTCAACGTACGTAAAGTGGACTTATACTCTTGTTCTAAAGATTCGTAATTTTCTTTTATATACCTTACTGTTGGTCTGGATCGTAGTTCTGGATAATCTCGAACTCTGCTTCGTAGATTTGGATAACTCTCTGGATACCTCTGTAGATCTGGATAACTCTGGATACCTCTCTGTAGATCTGGATAACTCTCTGGATTCCTCTCTGTAGATCTGGATAACTCTCTGGATATCACTCTGTAGATCTGGATAACTCTCTGGATACCTCTCTATAGATCTGGATAACTCTCTGGATACCTCTCTGTAGATCTGGATAACTCTAGATATCACTCTGTAGATCTCTGCTTTTTCTTTACTTTCTCGTTCACTTTAGATAATCACTTTGTTTATCTGGAACTAACTCTGGGTTCTGGATACTCAAAATCTGGATGAACTTCCAAAATTTTTTGAATATCCTAGCGCTGCCACCAATTATGTTGTCGCCGTAAGAAACAACTAATATTATTATTTTTGGTGAGTTGGTTACTCAACTGAGAGCCAACTCTACTTTATTTATTTAACAAGTAAAAGTACAAAAACTTGGAGATAATCAATCCTTCCAATTCTTCACTGAGCCTTATTGGAAGACAAACGTGCTATCACTTTGAGTAGCGACTAATTAATCTGACCACACCTGCTTATGCTTTAGTTTTAAAGGACTGTGAACTCGTCCCCACTCTTTACAATACACACTCATACTTCATACTGTCGACAATAGTCAGGAAAATTTTTTTTTCATGAAATTAAGAAAATTGAGACAATAGGGGAGAGTGGGGTAAATGCGCTAGGTTTACATTTATCGATGTATATTTTTTAAATTAAGCAATTAATTTATGCGGTCTTTCTTTTTCATTATTCTAAAACTAATCAACAAGAAATTTTAATAGTTGTTATTTTAGTATATTATAATTATAAATACATTATTTAATGAAATTTAAAAACAATGCAAAAAGTGCCTTTGCCCCACACGCTGGGGCAGCGACGTTTTCGCTTATATTTCTAAAAGAAAGCATTTATAAGCCTTAAAAAAATTAACAAGTGATATTTATTAGTATAATATTTATGAAACATAAGGGTAACAACATATGTGACGCTCCACGAGAAAAGGGACCTTATGACAAGAGTAAATAAGGTCCCTTTTCTCGTGGAGCGTCACATATTATTAAAAGAATTAAACAATTTAAATAAAAAATAAAAACTTTTAGTGATTTTAATCTTATATTGTGAATTAATACTTAGAAAATTCGAATATTCCGTTGTTTTTAACCAGATTATGTCAATATTGCCATTGTCCCACATAACAAACTTTTTTTACTTTAAATTTAAAATATTTAGATACAAAATTAAACTAAAACACCACGCCAGAGGTGTAGAGAAATATTTAATTTATTTACATGTTACGTTTTTAAAAATTAAATACTTAAACTTATGTTTTAAAAAATAAAAGTTTGTTCGGTAAAATTATCATTTTATTTTTGCAAAACAATTTTTTTGTTATATTTCTTAAAATATTTGATATTTTTAGGTTTTTCTTTTTTTAATCAATTGGTCTGATTGCATTGCAACTCAATTTTTAATGCCAATTGGAATAGACAGAAAATAAAGGAGATATTTTAAAAAACGTCTTTGCCCCGCATAGCGCCTTTGCCCCACTCTCCCCTACATAAAAAACCACAATTTTTAGTAAAAACGTGCAAGTTATTTTGATTTTGATAATGCGAAAAGTAACTATAAACAAATCATTCAAAAATTGTTTTTGAATCACTTTTTAAGACAATTAAATTTTTGAAATATACCTATAATAAAAATCTTTTTAAATATGTAATTATAAATACTGAAAATATTGCATTTAAAAAAAAATTAGATGCTAATTTATATTAATTTGAAAGGTTTGTTTATAAGTCGAAAAAATGTCTCAATTTTCTTACATTCCCTAAAAAAAATTTTTATTGACATTTCCCTGACTTTACTGAAAAAATTTTGTTTCCCTGACTATGGTGTTAATATAACAATATAATAATTAAAAAAATAAAGTGTTTAATTAAATTATAGTGTACATATATTATTTTAATCGTTAATCATTTTCGTAATTTCGTGCTTTGAAATATGTTCAAAAATGAGCTTTATTACTTTTTAAAATGCAGTAGTAACATTAAAAAAATACTTACATACTTTTCAAATGTGCATTGTCCACGTGGACAAGTGTAAAGGGGAGAGGATTTGCCAAATGTTCACGATTGTCCACAACCGGAGTTCCTCTCTCTCTACATAACACGGAAAATGGAGAAAACATTATGCTCTTCTGTAAACCAAAGAAATAGGCGTTACTATCTTACCTATTCGCCTCTCTCTCCCTCCTACTCTAAACTGAAAGAAGAGACGATACTTCCCTCTCTTACTCTGTATCGTGCTTTCTCTCTCATACTCTGACAGACAGAATGAATTTTGGAATACGAAGATTAATATAGTTAATTACTGAAATTGATTTAATGGAAGCTAGAAATATTTAAGGAGTTACATTCAGTTACACAGCCGAAAATAATACGTATATTTTATTTATGAAAATAATTTTTTTTTAAACGACTGGATCATCTTAAATGAAGAAACCAAAAATTTTTCGTTAATATATTAGATTATCCTGTGATTAATCCTATTATAGTAAGTGGATGTAACCCCTTAAAAAAAGGTTTCGTGAATGATTACAATTTTTAAAAAATATATTTATTATTATTTCATCAAACTCGAATACAATTTTGAATTAATTTCAACATCAATTTTAACTCTTTGAGTAAATTTTTTTCGTTTATTTCAACTTCTTTTTCTGTTTCTATTAAATCGTCATTAATTTGTTTCAACCACGTTTCGGTCTCAGTTTCTGAATTTTGAATTCGTAACAAGCGCGATGTACAATTTGGTGTTAAACTAAAATTTGAAATTTCATCATTTTCAAAATTGTGCATTTTCCTTTTTACCAATTGTCGAAGAATTATGATAAATTTCATTAATTCCTGTCGAAATTCTTCGGTGTAAATTGATTTTTGCGATGACATTGATTCATCAATTACGGTTGTCTACACCATGGAGAATAATTTCAATTAAACAAGAATTCTACAAATCAAAAAAAGGAAATAGATAAAAAATCCCTAAAAGTTAATTATTAATTAATTACCATCCAGTCATAAAAAATATGCTGTCGTTTTGTCCATTTCAAATGAAAATCAATCATTTTTGAAATATTTTGTAAATTTTTTATTAACTCATGATCTTGTGGACTTTTATTATCCAAAGTAAGTCTCTTAATTAGTGCCATTTCAAAAACGGAAAGATGAGTTAAACCACTTGTATTTATACTGGCAGCATGAACTTTTGTCGTTAGCTTTACTTTTTCCCCTAATAATTCACTGATTTCCTTTAAATTGTGATTTAATTTTGAACAAACGTGAACAATTTGTTTCATTTCATTCTCGAGTGTGGAACAATCTATTTCCTCTTTTAATGCCTGGAAAAAATTTTATTGAAGGGAAAAAATAAATTATATAAAAATGTGAGGCTGTATAATTTAATTTCACAGGTCCACAAAAAAATTTGTTTAAGGTTTGAAAAAAATCATGACGTGATGAAGTAAAACGGACTTTAAATTCGTGTTCAGCATCATGCAGCATATTTGGCCCCTCATCGATTTTTTTTGTGGACCTGTGTTTTCAATAAAAAGATAAAAATAATTCTATTCTCTTTACTTGGGAAAGTATTTCTGATGAAGAACATTCTTGTCCTAGGGAACAATTAACGAGATTCGACTTTAATTTCTTTTCGATAACATTATTTGACGCCAATAGCCATCCAAGTGCTAAGAGTAATTCCCGACTGTTGTAAACATCATTTTCTGGTATTAAATAAAATTCCACAGTTTTGTATTGTAGAAAGGCGAAATTTAACTTTGTACTTGTAATTTTATCTGAAAATTTATCATTTATAGAAAAATGTTAAAATAAATTAGTAATTATATATTCTACAAGTACTCTATTATATTCTATTTTCATTGTATTCTATTCCTTTTCATTTCTGTAATATAATACTGAATACTATCGAAATCAAAAATTGACACACGGAAGTTATTTCAATCAATAGATATTTATTGTACGGTAGGTTTTGAATTCATTTTCACTTTCTTTTCCTGACAATTTAATTTCTCATTGAAATCAAAAAAGAGGGTAAAAATCTATGTGAAATTGAAGTAAACTTCAGCAGACAGCTTCTGCAACTCGAACAAAATAGTTGTGTATAATGAAAATTCTGATTTATTTCGTTGCTCTTATTATCCGGGTAGAATTACAGAGTGTGTTTTCAAAAAGTAATTATTATCATGGATTAATAAATTATTTAAAGGAAGAATCAAAATTGCATCAGGTAGTGTTCATCTACGATGATGCGAATGATGATACAGGTCCACTAATGAATTCTCTAATGACAACAGTAAATTCGCATTTTCCATCTTTTGCTATCAGTGATATGAAATACAACGCAACTAAAGAATCGTATATAAAGTTACTTACACGACCTAGAAGTACAACCCTCTTTGTTTTACAATGGACAAACAAGAGCAGTATTGAAGAATTGGAAAGTGTTTTTATAACAGTACATTCATTAAGAGGATGATCAAAACCAAGATGTCTAGTTATAAATCCCCCTTTGACTCATCACAAAATTAACATCATTCTACATTTTTTCTGGGTAAATAGGTATTTGGACGTTACTTCATTATTAATTATCAAAAACCAAGAAACAATTCCAAACCTAATTTATGTAAGTAACAGAAATCCATTTTTCAACAAATATTCTTCAAAAGTCCTATCATCTAAAATTGAATGGTTCCAAAATAAACTGCTCGACATGAATGGTTACAAACTATTCTTTGCTCATCAACCTATTAACAATTCAACCAAAGACACTCACGAAATCTCAATGAACTTAATAGACATTCTTTCTCAAGCAATGAAATTTAAATCAGTAAACATATCAATTTATTCACCCAGTATTAAAGTATTCTTAAAATCAAAGAAATCTGCAAGGAATAGATTCGTTACTGAATTTATAACTGAATTCAGGGAAAAATTACCAGAGATTTTGCTAAACTGGCCTTTATCTTATGGTATGTCCGATACATTTTTCCTAAATCTAAAAATTCTAAACTTTGACAGTGTTAATGCTGTTGTACCAAAGGAAGTGAAACCAACAAAACTCATTACACTTTCGTCGGAATTTTGGTTTATGATCTCAATAACGATTGGTGTAATCATTCTAATACGACTCATGGCATTTTTACTGAAATTCGAAACAAGAACATGGCAAACGATGAACATCAGTCAAATTATAATCGGAATAGCAACACCCAATGAAATTTCAACATTCGAAGATGTTTACAATTCGAATTTAAAACTAATGATGGAATTTAAATTAAAACACCACTTAATGCAAACATCATCAACAGATATTCAAAAATGGATAAACACTTCCTTAGAAATATCAAGAGAAGAGGAAGAAGAAAAAAGGAAATTTGTTTAAAATACTTGGCGACACATCGAAATATTAGTTGTTTTCTACCTAATGCAGCATATCATGTTAAAAAATACGAAACTAAAAATAGTAACTTGAATGCAAAAATTATACCAGAAACAATTGCAGTAAGAACGAATACTTTTATGGGAGTTCCCTTCTAAAAGCTACAGAATTCGGGTTATTTAATGTTTATAAAAATATTTAGCCTGCAAAGTTTGTGAATTCGGGAATAGAATTAATTACAAAGGAAAAATTGTTTTCTTCCTTGAAGTAATAATAGCGAAAATAAAAAATAGATATTCGAGAAAAAAGCCTAGATTTCGATTTGTAAATTAAGGAAATACATCCAAAGCTTCTGATGCAAAAGGTTCTTTTATTGGTAAGACAATTTTAATTTTAATATTCTTATCTGTATTATTTTTTAAATTTTGCAATACAGTCAGTTCTTACATTGAATGCACAATTGTTAATAGGATGCTATGGCCCATTTGACTCAAAAATTTTGATTTCATTTAATTATTATAATAAAAGTAAGAAGTCAATATTTTTTAATAAATATTTACTTTATTTAGATAATGCTTCACCTGATAAAAGCAGTCGTATCGCATATCAATTTGAACTGGCAGATATATCAATTTCCATTCACATCATCCACTATGTTATAAAATTGGAATAATCTACAAATTAGTTGACGAAGCTACAAAATTATTCGATCCAAACTATCATGCGGAACATCTTGAAATCGTAAAACAATCATTACTACTAAATGGATATCCATTTAAGTAATATTAATTAAAACTCTTTCTAAAATCTTTGTATTAATTTTTTATCTTGTACGACAGAAATAATCATAAACTTGAAAAGAAATTGTAAACGATTCAAAACAATATTAATTTTTTTCATTACTTAAAATTTTTATATTATATACATGGCGGTTTTCACGTCAAATGTCCATCCAAAAAAAAGTGTTGATGAATCAATCCCAAATTTTTTTATGAGTTGTCCTATGAGTAAATAATTTATCAGCCAAATATTTTTGAATTTTATAAAAAATTATGAGAAGTGGAGGGGGTAGAAGTTTTGAGTTTTGATGTGACTCGCACTACTTCGTTTATTTATTGTATTTAAACGAAACGATGAAAAATAATTTTCGAATATGGTATCTTCAGGTTTTTTCATAAGCTTTCGATTGCCGTTGTCCATTTCAGAAAATTTTTCGATTTTGACCAAAATTTTTGAAAATTAAGAATAAAATTTAATTTTTCTCATCTTTGGGCTCGTTTTTCTTTTTTTATTTTATTTTTATTGGAAAGCTGAGGTTTTTTCCCAAAAAATTGTTAATTTTCAGAAAACCGATTTCTTTTGTTTTCGAGAAATTAAATATTAAATACAGCGCGTCACGTTAGCCCGCGGACGCTCCGCGCTGCGCCGCTGTACTGTACGGTGCATAACGAACTTCAGATTACTGGCGATGGGTGTGTAAAGATTATAAAAGTTATAAAAGGTTGTTTGAACTACATTGGGTCGGTAAATTTTTCTCATTCTTATACGTTTCGATAGCGTATGATGGTATAATAAAAACCTGTAAATAGTTTTCCGAAATTCGACTATTTGTGAAAGATATTGTAGCGTTTTTGTAAATAGCTAACTACTCGCGATTGGGTGAACCGATTTTAATAAAAATTGGAGGAGAAATTACCTGAAGAATTGTACTTTAGATAAGAAATCAAAATTCTAATTAAAAATATAATTTGTTTAAAAAATTAACTTTTTAATTTTTGGAGTTAAAAAAAATTTGTTCTCCATCTTTTTTTGGATTTTTTTTTAAAATCAAATGAAGAATACTTTTATGATTTTATTTGAACAATAAAAAAGTAGGATTCTCTTTCACTTTAGAAAATATAATATTTTTAGTTACAAAAATTTTTGAAAAGTTAAAGAGATTTGAAGCAAAACAAATGAATAAACTAAACTCGACAACTTTAACCAAAAAAATTACATATTAACAATCATTATATATACGTAATCCGATCGCGAGTAATTAGCTATTTACTAAAACGCTACAAATAATTTTAACCTTGAATAACTTTGACAAATAGTCGAATTTCGAAAAACTATTTTCAGGTTTTTATTATATTATCATACGCTATCGAAACATATATAAGAATGAGAAAAATTCACCGACCCAATGCAAAATAGGGGCCCACTTCAGAAATTCTTACCCTTCTTGTGAAAAATTAGAAACAGGCAGTAATTCAGATTATGATTTTCCTACGCCAAATAAAAAACGAAAATTAGAAAACTGCAATAATAAATATTGCAAAGCAGGGATACAAAAAAATGCATCGAATGTACAACATTTTTTTTCGAATTTCTAAACTAGTGTTATTATTAATAATAATTTTTAGTTACTTAATTGCATTTAATTTCATTTTTAATTACGATTACAATTAATTTATTAATTTAAATTTTAATTATTATTTATAATATATTTATTTATTATAATAAATTTTCATCTTTGTATATGTTATTACAATGATTTTTTTGATAAAATTAATTTTTAATATAATAAATTGATAATTTATTATAAAGAATTTTGTATTTTATAATTTTTTATTAAAATAAATTTGATATTTTAAATTCAATTAGAATAAAATTTATACTATAGAATAAAGTTCATTATAATAAATATTTTTACTACAATTATTTCTTAATAGAATGCTTACCAAACCAAATTTTTTTCATGGAGATAAATTTTTTGTTACAATAAATCATAAATTTTATCAAAATTTCTAAATTAAAAAAATTTGTTTATCAACAGAAAGGAAAATTAATTCCATTTCTGATTATTTCAAATCAACTGGAATAAGAATCGATATAATTTAAGTGGAGAAATTTTTTTTGAGGTTATGTTTATCGTTACAGGACAATAAAAATAATAAATGTACTTTTCTCACCGTAGTTTTTAAAAGAAATAAATTTATTCTCTTCTAAAATTGAACAAGTGCTGAGAATGTACAGAACTGACCAAAATGCTTCAATCTAAATTTAAAGAGAAAAATAAATTAAACAATTTAGATGAGAAAAACAGTAAACTGTATAAAGATGTACAAGAATTGTTTTGAATAAAATACAAAAAAAACAGCTTACAGCTTCCGGTGAACTTTTATTATATTTTGCCAATCGAAAATAATCTGGTTCCATGGAAATTTCGGTTAAACATGTTAAATGTTTACATAAAAGTTCAATAACCGTTTTTGTGTCCATTGTTTTTGTTAGGGATTAATTTCACATCTGACCGCGAGATTGCGCTTGTGATAAGAAAGTTTGTCTGCTAGAAGCACGTGTTTTTCGTTATCTTCTGAGTGTAAATTTTTTAATAAAATTATTTTTAATAAAAAAAAAATTCTTATGTACTTGCACATAATATAAATTAAAAATATTTGTAATGTATTTTGAAATTAACACATTTTTTAAAAAATTTCCTTTACTAAAAGGTGAAAGTGTTTCTATCTAAAAGATCTAAAGGATATAGTTATCGACATTGTAAATAACGCCTAGCAGTTGGCAATCCAACTAACGTCAAGGTAGGACATTTTATTTGCCCTTCTAAAATTGAATAATATATTTAATTACGCCTTACTTATAATCCAGTTTTCCATTTTTTATGTCTGCACACAATTTTTTAATTCTAATTTCTATAAATTTTTTGCTTTTTAGATCATATAATTTGGAATTTTAACTCCCATATATTCAATCAATTTTTACCCTTCTAATCTCCATTTTCCAAATTTTTATATTCATTTTATTTTTACCTATCAAATTTATATAGTGTTGCCGCGATAATAGCGAGATAACTCTTTTTTTTAGCGAAATCTGAATTGAATTGAATAAAATTAATTTAACCCTTTCGTGCTTCAGGGTAACCCAGCGGTTGGATTTGCTTCCAAATTGTTACTCGGGGGTTTTTGGGGTCGCTGATTACGAATCCAATGTCAGTTTGTCAAAATTAAAAATGGCGGATCCAATATGGCGGACAAGATTTTTAAAAAATGCTTGAATTTGCTTCAATATTGCTACTCGGGGGTTTTTGGGGTCGCTGATTACGAATCCGATGTGAGTTTTTCAAAATTAAAAATGGCGGATCCAATATGGCGGACAAGATTTTTAAAAAATGCTTGAATTTGCTTCAATATTGTTGCTCGGGGGTTTTCGGGGTCGCTGATTACGAATCCAAAGTCGGTTTTTTAAAATTCAAAATGGCGGATCCAATATAGCGGACAAGATTTTAAAAAATTGCTTGAATTTGCGTCAATATTGTTACTTGGGGGTTTTAACGGTCGCTGGCTACGAATCAGACGTCAGATTTAAAAAAAATTTTAAATAAAAATGGCGGATCCAATATGGCGGACAAGATTTCAAATTTGCTTCTATTTGCTTCAAAACTGCTACTCGGGGGTTTTTGGAGTCGCTGTTTACGAATCTGATGTAAGTTCGTTTTATTGATAAAATAGTAGAAAACAAATAATCCATGCTCAATTTTGTAGAAAATATGTTTTTAAATCCACAAATAATTGCCAAATGAAAAAATTAATTTTCATAATTTTTAAAGCATTTTTAATAAAACTCTTTATTTGTACCATTTTTATTCTATTCATTTGTATAATTTTGTAATTAATTTCAGATCATATTTTCATTCTAAATTTTTTATATATTTTATTTTTTATTTAAAAATTAGGATCTGAAATTATTAATAAAATAAAGTTTATTTTTAGTAATAAAAATAAACGAATGAATTTTCATATAAAAAATTGAATAATAGTGGTATTTTTTTAGTATTTTTCGCCTACAAACAAAGATTTTTATTGGAAAAAATGTGCTTCAAACATTAGGAAAATGAATTTTTTCATTTGGCAATTTTTTTGCATTTTGAAAAACATGTACCTAGATTTTATAAAATTATGCATGAGTTTCAAATTCTACCAATTTTTAAGTAAAATAAAAATTCAAAAAGGGTCAAAATATTTTCTAAATAATATTTTATTTTATGACAATTTATTTCCTTACAAAAATTTACCTTAAAAATAATTTTGTGGGATATTTAAATGTTTCTAGACTCATAGACTGACATTATAATTTTCAACACGTTATGCACTCATTATTCGGTCCCTACTTTACCATGACGAGGTATTAGCGCGCATTAATTGTCTTTTTGTCCGTATGGTGGTGAAGTCTTTGTTCTCTCGCTAACAAGACGCATTGGGGGATATATAAGTATAGAAAACTTTTTAGATTAAAATATTACGAATTTTTCGTGCGTTTCAGCAGGTAAGTGGATATTTGATTCTAAATTTAAAAAAATCAGTCCTTCAGAGTTTAGTTAGTTCGTTTTCTGTCATTTTATTAGGGTATATATATATATAAATTTTTTTTTCATTATAGTCAGTTCTTTTTGGATCATTTCCTTTCTTTTCTTGCTGTTAATAATAATCTACGCTTTTGGATAATTAAAATTTCTATTCTTAAAAATGACTACTCGTTCTCGAGCAAGACTGAACTTGAATTTTTCGCTTCCATCTGATCTGGAAGATTCAGAAGGTGATTTTGACTCTGAGGAAGAAGATATAAACGATCTTACAGATTCTGATGATGACGCGAATATCATAGACGAAGATAGTAGTGATGAAGATTGTAGTGATACTGAAAATTCATATCATGGCGAAAATGAAAAATGGAGGACAGGTAGTTGCAATTGTTGTGATGTTTTGAATTTTGAACAAGATCCTGAAATTCTAGCACAAATGGAGAAAAGGGCAAAAGAATCGGACTTTTTTTATTTATTTTTCAGCCAAGACATGTTAGAAAAAATTGTTGAGGAAACGAATTTGTATTTTCTTCAATACAAGGCAAAAAAGTCAAAGTATGCTTATGAATTATCAATTGACGAGCTACGTGCTTGGATTGGTATGCTGATATATATTGATGGGAATACATCGTTTACCTCAGCAGAAAAATTTTTGGAGTACGAATCCAGCGCTGAGAGTCGATTTTATCGCCAATATCATGCCTCGTGATCGATTTCGAAAAATAGCTGAAATTCTTCATCTTAATGATAACAGTAAAGTTCTTGAGTAAGACCGCTTATTGACCATTTGAATAAAAAATCTCAGGAAATTTACGCTCCTTCTAAAATTCTAGCAGTTGATGAATCAATGATAAAATTTAAGGGTAGATTGTCTCTCAAGCAGTACATGCCAATGAAGCCAATTAAAAGAGGATTCAAGGTTTGGTGTCTACCAGACTCACAAACTTCATATATTTTAAATTTTGAAATTTACACTGGTAAATCCTCAGATTCACAGAAGAGCGAAGAAACACTTGGTGAACGAGTTGTAACGAATCTAACTAAAGAGTTGCATAATAGCAGGTCATTAGTAGCATTTGATAACTTCTTCACTTCGTTGAATCTAATGACACGTCTCCTTGAAAAAAAAATATTTTCAGTTGGCACTGTCCGAGTAAATAGAAAAGGCTTACCAGATATAATGAAGAACAAAAGTAAACTGCAGCGAGGAGAGTCAGAAATAAGATATATGGGATGCGTTCAGGCAATTAAGTGGATGGATGCAAAGATTGTCACTCTTCTTTCCACAGCCCATAATTCGGAGACATCTTCTGTAAAGAGAACCTTAAAAAATGGAAGTAGGATTGATGTGCAATGCCCGGGTGCTATTGAAACCTACAATCGAATTATGGGTGGCGTAGATCGATTTGATCAAAAGAAGCAAGTGTACAGTATTAGTAGACGCTCAAGCAAATGGTGGCATAGAATTTTTTACTTTTGTATAGATCTGGCCATTGTAAATTCACTGACACTGTATCAGCTTCATTATAAACGAGTAGAAGATCAACTCACATTTCGATTGAATTTGGCAAACCAACTCATTGCAAAATTTTCTGCTACAAAAGGTCAAGCTTCGACAACTCAAGTCACAAAGAAAAGAAAAATCCTTGAAGAAACTTCAGAAGATATTGGAAATCACATGCCTGATGTTCAAGCAAACCTAACGCGCCTATATCGGAACCTCTCAGGTGGTGTGGAAAGCCGTGCTTCCAACAATTCTAATCTAAAATTCTATCCGTACTCAACGACCTCAAAAACTTTTGTATTTAATCCGACATTTTGATTTTTAAAAAACTGAAATTATATTCGTAATCAGTGACCCTTAAAATCCCAAATAACGTTTTTAAAGCAAATTCAAACAAATCTTTGAAAATCTCGTCCGCCATATTGGATCCGCCATTTTGAATTTTGAAAAACTGACATCGGATTCGTAATAAGCGACCCCAAAAAACCCTGAGTAACAAATTTTAAGCGAATTCAAGCAATTTTTTTATATCTTGTCCGCCATTTTGAATTTTGAAAAACTAACATCGGATTCATAATCAGCGATCACAAAAATCCCCGAGTAGCAATATTGAAGGAAATTCAAGCATTTTTTAAAAATCTTGTCCGCCATATTGGATCCGCCATTTTGAATTTTGAAAAACTCACATCGGATTCGTAATCAGCGACCCCAAAAATCCCTGAATAGCAATATTGAAGCAAATTCAAGCATTTTTTAAAAATCTTGTCCGCCATATTGGATCCACCATCTTGAATTTTGAAAAACTGACATCGTATTCGTAATCAGCGACCCCGAAAACCCCCGAGTAACAATTTGGAAGCATATTTGATAAAATTTAAAAAAATTTTGAAATTTGTTTAAAAATTTGTCGGCCATATTAGATCCACCATTTTGAATTTTTTAAATATGACGTAAGATTCGTAATTAACAACCCCAAAAACATAAAAAAAACGAAGTTTTGTTAAAAATTATTCACTAAATGTTAATGAAATGTATAGCTTGTTACATAACTGGTTTTGTTAAAAATCAGTCAATGTTTATTCTATTGTTTAAAATAAATATTACAACTTTTTGTAATTTACTATTTTTTTAATTGTAGCCACATCCATTCGGAATAGAAAGCAATTTAGCGCAAATTAATTGGTTAATTTTTATAAGAATTACATAAAATTTTCTAAGTGGGACATATATGTCCCGCAGGCACGAAAGGGTTAAAAAAAATTTTATTTATTATTTCTTACTTATTTATTACTTTTTTTTATAACTCATTCATTTCTTTAGCGAAATCTGAATTGAATTAATTAATTTAAAAATTTTCTTATTTATTTATTATTTTTTACTTATTTACTTTTTTTATAACTCATTCATTGCTTTAGCGAAATCTGAATTGAATTGAATAAAATTAATATAAAAAAATTTTTATTTATTATTTTTTACTTATTTATGTAATTTTTTTTATAACTCATTCATTTCTTCAGCGAAATCTAAATTAAATTAATTAATTTTAAAAATGTATTTATTTATTATTTTTTACTTATTTTTTACTTATTTACTTTTTTTAACTCATTCATTTCTTCAGCGAAATCTGAATTGAATTAAATAATATTAAAAATGTATTTATTTATTATTTTTTATAACTCCCCGGTAAAAACGAGTGTATTGAAATCGATTGAAATGATTACAAGTATAGCTGAATTCTTGAAATCATTTTAATCCAAACGAATGACATTTTTGGCCATCAATAAATTTATTCCAATCACAGTAATCTATTTGAACACACTTAAATTCAGTTGAATTCTTGTTAACATTTCAAATCTGTTAAAATGACGAAAAATGATATGAATTTATCCAGTTTAATGCTTTCTGGAAATTTTAAAAAGTGAAATCATTTGAATCCTTTCTTGAACATAAACATTTGTTAACATTTTAATTTTTTTTTGGATTGAAATGGATTAAACTGATTACAAATTGCTATGAATTCTCAATAATTTTAATCCAAACCAATGTCGTTTTCGTCCTTTTTGTGATATCATTTTAATTCATTTCAATACACACCTTCTTACCGGGTCATTCATTTCTTCAGCGAAATGTGAATTGAATTAATTAATTTTAAAAATTCCTAATTTATTTATTTATTATTTTTTACTTATTTACTTTTTTTATAACTCATTCATTTCTTTAGCAAAATCTGAATTAAATTAAATAAATTTTTAAAAAAATGTATTTATTTATTATTTTTCACTTATTTACTTATTTTCTATAACTCATTTATTTCTTCAGTGAAATTTGAATTGAATTAAATAAATTGAAAAAAAATTTATTTATTTATTATTTTTTACTTATTTATTTTTTTCTTATTTACTTTTTTTATAACTTATTCATTTCTTCAGCAAAATCTGAATTTAAGGGGGGAACCTCCTTTATTGCGTCAAAAAAATTGACTTCCTGGAAATAATTTTAATTGATTCTACAACTATTCAAGAATATATACCCATCAAATTTTTAAGTCGATTTCTGTATTATTGAAGAAGTTACAAAATTTTTAATTATTTTTTTTTCATGCGTCGTTTAGTGAAAGGTTTACCAGAGTCCAGAATTTTTTCTGTTTTAGCATTCAATCTGCCTTCTTCTTTCATTCAGAGTATACCACTGTCAGTATAATTTGTAATTTCTGTGTGACAACCCTTCTTTCATTTGTTTGACATTCGAGTCACTTTATTTAAAAAAAACTTCAAATTAAAATAAATAATTATCAAAAGAAAAAATTGTCATTGGATAAACGTAGGTAACTTCAGTTTCATAAAATGTTATTAAAATGTTTAAAATACTTGTTTAATTGTGAAAAATTATGAACTAAAATAAATTTTTAAATTTAAAGAGATTTGCTCCTCACCTTTCTTCGGAGCGTATCTTAAATAATCTAACAAATTTTAACTTAAATTTTTGTTATTAATAAAATTAAAAATTAATAACTTATTTTATTAACAATTTACTTGAAGGATTTTATATTTTTTGTCGTAATTAGCTAAAAACATACCAAAACAATTTTATTTTTGGGTCTGGAATTTTTTAAAAAATGGTCTGGACCGGTTGTACTCGGGAAGTGGGTTTTCTGCAGTTTTTCTCTTCCCTGGCCAAATGTCCAGGCGAATGCGAGTACTCCTAATCTAATTCGGCTGCAGCAGCAAAAGTAGGGACCCCTACTTTAGTTAGTAGTAGTTAGTTTAGTAGTGATGTTGAGGAGATTGTAAAGGCCCGAAAGGGCATACAATGAAATCATACTTTACTTTAGTGAACTTTCGAAGCACGTGGCACTATCAAAACTGCGTTCTTGAGAACAGAATTTTGCAACGCGTGATCACAGATACAGAACGATCTACTGACCGGAACTGAAGCTGTCAAGCTGAGCTCGAGAAAGAAGGCAGAGCGCAAGCGCCGGAGTGAGGCGCAAGAGAGGGAGAATATTCAGTCGGCTCAGTCCATCCTTCTCTCTCGCATTGATTCACTCTGCTGCTTACGTTCCCCTTTTCCTTCACTGTTTCATTTCTATTGCCAATAACAGTAGAATTCAACATAATATTTAAATTAGTTTTTATACCTTTTTTAACTTATTTAATTTCTCCATCTGTTTAATCCTAATTTAATCAAAAGGAGAGTAAAAATAATATATTTTATTAAATTACATAGAATTTTAATCAATTCCCGTTTAAAGTGAAATAAATTTCAATTGAAATACAATAACAATACAAAAAATGTATTTATTTAAAAAATTGAGCATAAAAATTTATTTATACATAACGCAAAAGAGTATTACATATTACAGGATAATTATTATAAACATTTTTAAAATGTAAATAATATTAATTATTTGTTATTATTATTACACAATATAATTATACGAACACAATTTTTTTGTAAAAAAGATTTACTTGAACTACAATAATATCACTGAAAAAAAATGATAATGTCAATTTTGTCATACATATATTACTGTCTCTCACATACATATGACTGTTCTACACTGCGTATGACTGAAACAGCAATACTATATAGCAGTTCCATATCCATCAATATAATATGTGAGAATTGGCTATATTTATGGCAGTACCATAAATATATTTTTTTCAGTGTAATTATTAATTATCTGCTATAATTCACTACAATGATTAATTTATTATATTTGCCATATAATTATTTCCTATTTTTACACAATTTTTTTTATATAAAAGACTATTATTATTTATCACTAATTGTTATAAACAATTTTGTTAACAATTATTTCAGCAAAAATTTAATGTTATTTATAACATTATAAATGTTTATAAATAATTTTTTTAAATATCAAGAAAAATTGCCATTTCTTTCATTAATTAATTAAAAATATTTTAAATATATTTTTTAAATTAACTTTTTTAATCAGTTTGAGCGTTATCGACAAAAAAATGACAATTATGAATGCCTCATTAGATCACCTCGTGGGGACGATGGAAACTACATTCAAAAGCGTTGGAGTGGGGATAAGTCAACATAGGCAGAGATGGTTAGAAATATTTTAAATATACTCTTTTTTTTAAACTAAAAATATTTTTTCTAAAATTAAAATCATTTAATTTTTTGCTTAAATAAAAAAAAGTGTAAAATTGTAACAAAAAATACGAATAAATTAAATGGTGTGAACAAAAGTTAACATCAGGTATTGACTGGAGGCGTTTCAATGGAGTCAACGACGCCAAATGATGATATAAAAACATTGAGTACGGTCACGGAGAAAATTCCAATAATTGTCCAATTACTGGCTCGATTTGCCTTACACATTTCTGAATCGACTTTAACATTGTATCGACTATTCCAAATAAGGCCTATTCCAATGGCAATTTGTAATATGAGACTCATTCCAATCATTGCCAATGATGGATAATAATAGGGATGACTGCCACTGCTTTGCAGAACGTAACGAAATTGATTTGCATTTGCCGATATTAATGCAAGATCCATCATACCTTGGGCTATTGTTTTCTTCTGTTGATAAACATTAACGTCTGGCGTTGGTGTCTCGCCCGGCTAAAAAATTTAAAACTCATTTATTTTTTCAGTTTTTGTTTAATATTTTTTTATACTATTTAGTTTTTATTTTTAATTTGTTTTATTGAATTTTTTTTATATTTTGTTTATGATTTTGTAAAATATTTCATTTATTATTTTGTTTATCATTTTGTTTATTGCACGTTATTTATTTTTGTTTATTTTTATTTAAAACTTCAATTATTATGTTTTATAAAATATTTTTCTATTATTTTATTTATTTTTTTATTTATTTTTTATTAATTTGTTTATTTTGTTTATAATTATATTTCATTACTTTATTTAATGATCATTTAATATGTTTTGTTTAATTTTTTTTTTTTTGTTTTTTATTCTATTTACGGTTTTGTTTAACAATTTGATTATTACTATTAAATAATTCAGTAGTGGATTGACAATTACTTTAAATAATCCAGTAGTAATGATTTGTAATGATTTAAGTTTTGAATAATCTAATAATGGATTGATAATAATTGTTTTATAATATGTCTATTGAATAATCCAGTAGTAGACTGACAATTGTTTATTATTAAGTTTATTGTTGGGTATAATATTTTCTTTTATTTTATTTATTAAATTGTTTATTTTTTATTATTTCAATGATAATTTATTATTTTGTTTATTATTTATATATTATTTGTAATTTTTATTTTGTTTATAATTTTTCATTTTGTTTATAATTTTTCTTTTGTTTATAATTTTTTGTTTTGTTTATAATTTTTCATTATGTTTGTAATTTTTTGTTTCGTTCATAATTTTTTATTTTATTTATAATTTTTATTTTACTTATTATGTTTTATTATTTACATTAGTTAATTTGTGTATACTTTATTTAAATTTTCCTTAATGTATTTTACATTATTTTTTTTTTTTATTGTTTTAGTTTATTATTTTCATTTATAATTTTTTTTATTTAATAGTTATTTTTATTGTTAATCTTTATTATTATTTTTCTTATATGTTATTTTATTTAATTTGATTACTTTGTTTATTTCAATATTAAATTTATTAAAAAAATAATGTTTGTTAAAATTTTTTAAATTACTTTCAATTTAGTTTTAAACAAAAAAAATGTATTATATTTTTTGTTTGTTTAATTTTTAAATGTAAATACTTTAATTACAAAAAATTTTTTTAATCTAATTAAAATTTTTTCTCATGAGGTAATTTTATAATTATTTCAAATTATTCACTTAATTCTATTTTTAGTTTGTTAATTACCACATATTTACGAAAGACAGACAGTTTACGTATATACAATGGTGTACAAACGGTAAACATTGATCAGGGTTCTTTGCCCCTGTTCAACGTCTATCCGTTCAATAATTTACTAGAAATTTCTATTAAAAGACGCTTCTAAGAAATGTTTTTCTTCCTCACATCACATAGGCAAAGAAAATGTAACGTTAAAATAAAAATAAAATTAATTTATAACTTTAACATATATTCAAAATTATAAACGGAATTAAAATTTTAATTATGAAAATCTTAATAAAATTTTAATTAAATTTGAAATTCCCACCATTTAAAAAATGCGGGAAATTCAAAATCTTTCATCTTTATATTTTCTCAATATTTTTTTAATAAAATGGATTTGATAAAAACAAATTTCTCTGGAAAAATTGCAAAAATGAAAAAAGAAGGGGTGGGGGGGGGGGATTTTACTAATTGCAAAAATAAGGAGAAAAGTGTTGCAAAAATAAGAATCAAAATTTACCAAATATCCGGGAATAAAACCAGGATAATGTGGTTGTGGTGTAGGCGGATATGTGGGAAAATTTTTTGGCGGTTTAAATTTCGGTCGTTCTGGTAAAAAGCCGTCATCGATTCCATGGTCATTGGGTCCGTAGTCCAAAGGTTTCTCGTCCGGCTCAAGGTCATCAATCTCAGGACCGTATGTTGGTTTTGGATTATTTACATTATCAGTCTCCAATAATCTCTCCGAACTCTTGATATTTAAATCCTCATTTAATTTTTTATTCTTCGTAAACTCATCCATATAGATAATTAATTCATCTTCTGATTCCATTTTTCCGTTGCATGACATTTTTCAAAAAAATGTTTTGTATTTTTTTTTGTTTAATTTTTTTCTTAATTGATGTTCAAAAAATATTTTCCAGGTTGTTTTTCAAAAAATTTTCTTTTTTATTATAAATTTTCTAGTTTTGCTAAAAAAAAGTATTTCGTTGTTTTTTTTATGCAAAAAAAGTCAAAATATTCATTTGAATAAATATTCCATTTTTTTAAAATACTACTTTCTTCATTTTTGTTTAGTAATTATTTTTAAATAGTTTATAATTTTTAATATTCTTTATTTTTCAATTTTTGTTAACTTGTATTTTTAATTTTTGCAATTTCGTATGTAATTTGGTTTTTTTCATTTTTTTTTTGTAATTTTCTAATTTTAATTTTTATAATTTTCTATTTTGTAATTTTGTATTTTTTAATTTCATATTTCTTTAATTTTAGCAATTTTGTATTTTTAAAATTTTTCTACATCAATTTTTTTTTAAATTTCTTACAATTTTGCGGTGCTTTTAAAGAGATTTCTTCCTCCTCTTCCTTAAATTTCAGTCTCTCCTCTTGCAACTCACTTAAATTTTGAATTTTTTAAAATTAATGTTTCTAATTTATTTTCAGTCTTATTTTATTATTTAACTGATAATTATATCTATTCTTTATTTCCCTTGGTACTTTGTTTTGTTTTTTTCTCCTTCTTTTTGTTTATCACAAAGGATGTTTGTTCTAAATGAATCACAGCTTCACTTTTTCACTATCACTTTTTAAATTTTTTTCTCCATATATTTAATTTCCTCATTTTGCCATAAATTGTTCAATAAAATTTTTTTTAAATGTAACAAAAAATCATTTTTTAACCATTTTTTGTGCAATTGATGAATTTCCTTTTTTGGACTCGTGTTTTTTTTCTTTTTTTCAATAGCCACGTGATGATATCAGAGGAAATTTCTTAGCTCTGACCCGTCGACTATAGAGTGAACCATGACACTGTTTCACTTAGGATGTCTGAAAGTTTTGCTTCTGCGTTCTCTTTACACTTGTGGTCAGCCCCTGATTCACTATCGTTCTTTTCCGTTTGCACTTTTGCGGTAAAAGCATTCAATTGAATTAATTTCTTATATTTATTCTGCATTTCCTTTTTCAGCAACATTTCTTATATTATTAGCAAATTTTCTATATTAAAGTTTCAATTTTCAAATTTCGATTTTTCAAATTGTTTTTTTTTTCGAAACATTTTTTTAAACAATTTGAATTTTCAGTAAAACTTTTAGCTAAATGTATAAAAGAATCAGTAAAATACGAAAAATTTTGAAATTTCTTCCGCCATATTGAAACCGACATTTTGAATTTCAAAAAACCGATTTTAAATTCATATATAGAGACTTAACAATTCCCTAGATACCAAGTTTCATAAAAATCTAAGGAAATTTTATAATTTTTTTCGCGATTTTGGACCCGCTATTTTGGATTTCAAAAAACCGAATTTAAATTCGTAATCTTAGTTTCTAAAACCCCCTAGATACCAATTTTGGGACGCATGATTATTCCCCAAATGTCATTTTTCCGAAATGTCATTTTACCGAACTGCACTTTTGCGAATAGTCATTTTTGCGAAAAGCCAATTTTGCGAAATGTCACTTTTTCGAAAACTCATTTTTGCGAATTGTCATTTTTACGAAAAGACATTTTTAGGAAATGTCATTTTTGCGAAAAGTCATTTTTACGAATTGCCATTTTTGCGAATTGTCATTTTTAAGAAATGTCATTTTTGCGAATTGTCACTTTTGCGAATCGCTATTTTTACGAATCGCCATTTTTACGAATTGTCATTTTTAAGAAATGTCATTTTTGCGAATTGTCACTTTTGCGAATCGCTATTTTTACGAATCGCTATTTTTACGAATTGTCATTTTTGCGAATAGTCATTTTTGCGAATTGTCAATTTTCCGAAAAGTCATTTTTGCGAATCGCCATTTTTTCGAATTGTCAGATTTCCGAAAAGTCATTTTTGCGAATTGTCATTTTTGCGAAAAATACAATAGAAAACTTGTAGGTCTATAAATTCACTATTGTATTTTTCGCAAAAATGACAATTCGCTAAAATGACTTTTCGGAAAATTGACAATTCGTAAAAATGTCGATTCGCAAAAATGACAGTTTGCAAAAATAGCTGTTCGCAAAAATGACAATTCGTAAAAATAACTTTTCGCAAAAATGACTATTCGCAAAAATGACAATTCGTAAAAATGGCGATTCGTAAAAATAGCGATTCGCAAAAATGACTTTTCGGAAAATTGACAATTCGTAAAAATAGCGATTCGCAAAAATGACTTTTCGGAAAATTGACAATTCGTAAAAATGTCGATTCGCAAAAATGACTTTTCGGAAAATTGACAATTCGTAAAAATGGCGATTCGCAAAAATGACAATTCGCAAAAATAGTATGTTTCTAAAAACCCCTATAGATACCAATTTTCATAAAAATCTAACGAACCTTTGAAATTTAGTCCGCCATTTTGAATTTCAAAAATCTGACATGAAATTCGTAATTAGCAGGGGCGGATCCAGACAAGGATCTTAGGGGGGGCCATCTGCTAGACGCTAGCTTGCGCTAGCTTGATGACCTATTATGAATGAAATTTTTATTTAAAAAATTCTCGGAAATTTGAATTCTCGGGGGGGGGGCATGCCACTGTGGCCCCCCCTGGATCCGCGCCTGGTAAGTAGAGTCTCTAAAAACATTTTTTTTAAAAAGATGAACATTATTTTATTTTTATGTTGGAAATTTAAAAAATTTAAATAAAAATTTTAAAAAAACAATTAAATAGGGGAGACGCACGTTGAGACACTAAGATATTATGACCTGTGTAACTGATAATACCAAAAATTTTATTGGCATTTTGTCGTATCATTAATACCAAACTTTTTATTCAAAAGAAGCGCAATAACTCCTGTTTTTTCGGTAGAACTAGAGCGAACCAATTTTTTAGTTAAAAAAAGTGTTTTTCAGAATTTCTGTTTAATGTATTTACTGTATTTTTTAGTGGCAGAAAAAATTGCGGATAACATTTACATATCAATTTTGGTTCTATTTTAAGGTTCCGATGAAAATTTAGACATACGTTAACATCTACATATAATTTCAAAGATTTAAGAAAATAACGGCAAGGTCTGCACTTTAAGACACACTGTGGTAGGTTAAAACGCTCACGGTGTAAAAATATACAAAAAAAAATTAAAATTGATTTTGAATCCACAATTTTTAAGCGTTTTACATGTTCTTCACCTGTAAAAATTGCGAATATAAGAATTTCAATTAATTATTTTTGTGGAAAATAAAATTTTATTTTTTGATTATTTTTTTTAAGTTAATTTTTAATGTTTTAATTTTTTTTCTTTGAGCTAAGACCATCAAAATAAGTAAATAAACAACAAACAATTAGAATCTGACGTAATTATTCATTTTGTTTCAATTTAAAATAAATTACTATATGGGTGTCTCAACGTGCGTACCACTTTTTTTTTGGTAAAAAATAACATGTTTAAAAAATCAGCTATAAATTTTTCAATTTTGTCCAAAAAAATAACTTTCTTTGGCAATGTTGTAGCCCTGGACAATACTCTTAAGAAAGCATTTCGAATTTTTCGCTAAATTTTGTTTTTTAAAAATTATAACTGAAAAACAGAACCCGTCTCAACGTGCGTATCTCTCCCCTATATTTAGAAATTTTAAAAACTGAACTAAAAAATAATTAAACAAAAGATTTGGAAAATATAACAATAAAATATATATAATACAATTAAACATATTATATAAAAAAAATGTTAATACCGAAATCTAATTTCCAAAAAATTAATAAAATTATTCTATATGCAAAAAATTTATTTTTTTTAAGTGAATAAAAAAACAAAATTTAAATAAGGAAAACTTTTGAAACTATAAATTTTTAAACTGTAAATATAATTTTACAATACAGAAATAATCATCTGAAGGTCGCAGTTATAAAAATTGTGAGCGAGACAAGGAGATGAATGACAAAGACTTATGGAAATCCATAAAATAATTATTAAGAAGAATTATGAATCATTTATATAATATTTTATGATTTGCATATTTCCCCGATTCTTAACAATGTACTATTATTTTTTTATACTATCATGTCATGTATTTAGAATATTTAATAAATTTTACAATTTGTACTATTTGTTTCATGAAATTTTTCTGAAAAATTTTCTTTTTTAAACATTATTTATATGATTATTCGATCAAATTAACATTCATTTTTTTAATAATTCGATTAAATTAATGTTCGATGTTTTTAAAATTCGATCAAATTAATATTCGATGTTTTGAAAATTCGGTCAAATTAATTTTAGAAGTTCGATCATATAATATTGTGATATTTTTAGATTCGATCTAATGCTTATTCGGGGCGCATATGATTGCACCCAAATTATCATCTTTATATAATTGTTATATTTAACGGAATTTTAAACTTTATAGTAATTATTTACTCGAATGGTAGGTGTCTATAATTTAATGTTATAACATTATTAGGACATTGAGAAATAGATATTTATTATAATTCTCAGAATATTTTACGAATTTTAACAATAGATTTTTATTGATTTAACAATAGATTTTCATTAATTCGTACAATTTCATTAAAATTGTAAGAAATAAATATTATATTTTTAACAATTAAATAACTTTCCATTTCAGAAGTTAAAAATTAAGTTAATTTATAGATTTCATATAGGAATTATAAAAAATAATTATTATACTTAAAAAATTTATTATATGGTGTGAAATTTATTGTAATTTATATTTTTATAATACTTAGAAAATCTATAAAAAAAAATTCGATTAAAAATAAATTATAACATATATCTATTGTTAGTATTGTAATAATGTTAACATTAAATTATTATAGACACCTAAATTAATTAAATAATAATTGGAAATTTCAAGATTTAAATAAGAAATTTAAAATTTCCCTCTCATGAAAATACCGGAAGTGTGTGAAACATTTGTTTCATCGTTCCGCTTTATTTAAAGTAAAAACTGGTAAAAACATGTGGAATTTAATGGAATAAAACCAAAAGAATAAAATTAATCATGACACTTCTCATGACGTTTATTGGTTTATTTTATCTATATAATATTTAATCTGTAATAACATTTATCGAAAAAAGAATTCATTGTAAAATTTTTAGATATACGTGTTTCGTAAGAATTCTCGATAATAAAATATTACGAATATTACCAATCACATTATTTCATTTCTACGTTTTAATCTTGGAAAAATTGACGTATTTTATACTACTGTGAATAATATAGAAATATGCATCAAGATTCAAATATAACATAAATATATAATTATACTATTAAAAGAGAATATTTTCTACTGAATTTTTAAAGTTCAGGTAAGTATTTTGTTTTCTAATAATGGTTTTTTTCTAAACTTAATGAAAATAGAAAAAAAACGTGTTTTATTGACAATTTTGTGTATTGAGTAAGATTTCTTATCTTTACAATAGATTTTTATTCTTTAAATTAGAATAAAATTTCTGTTTTGAAAAATAAATTCTACTTATTCGAAGGAAAATATTGAAAGTAATTAAATGAAAATAATCATCCGTATGTTTACGTTTATTATTTTTAGAAACATAACCTCAAAATTTTGGCAATTTTCAGTATACGATTATTTCGTCACCAAAATAACGAAAATATTCAGATTTTAGGTTAATTGGAATTTAGTAAAAAAAAAAATTATTCTTGCACACAATTTTTATTATTTTCTATTGTTATTTAAATAATTAATTATTTTATGTTTTATAAATAGAAAACAAGTCTCGATCTTAAATTAAAATGCCCGAAACAACGTCTGAAGAAGCAACGAATACATCAGAAAATAATTCAGAAGAAAGTCAAAGAGTAACTGAAGTTCCAATACGAGATGTACAAAATGTAAATAATTTAAATCTCGGAGCAAGAACTATTGAACGTTCTCGATTATTTGTTAACAACATTTCATCGACAATTGAAGAGATGCAACCATTAATTGGACAAGTAAAACTAATTATTAAACTAAAATTTTGTATATTTTCTAAAATTTTATTTCTATTATTATTATATTTATTATTAATATTTTATTAATATTATATTTATTATAAATATTTCATTAATGTTATATTTTTTATTAATATTATATTCTATAATTATTAAAAATATTTTCGATTATTTTTCAATTTAATTTTTTTGTTCTTTAAAAATTTCTTTTTTTAAGTTTTTAAAAACGATTTTTCTTTTAATTAAGCCAAATTTTTATTTTCGTTCTGAACCTAAAATCATTTAAAAATCAGAAGAAGAAGGAGCAGAAGAAGAAGAAAATAAATTTTTATTATTGGTTTTGCTGATTTTTCAATTTACCTTTTTTTTAAAAAAATTTTTTTTTACAATTTTTTAAAAACGATTTTTGTTTTAATTAAACGGAACAAATTTTTATTTTCGTTCTGAACATAAAATCATTTAAAAATCAGAAGAAGGAGAAGAAGATAAATTTTTATTGCATTTAATTTAACAGGGTTTCTACAAATTTCTCCTTATAAAATTCCATGATTTTTCCGTGATTTCCAGGTGATAACATATTAAAAAAAATTTTTCGTCAGTTAGGTCAGATAAATGTCATGAAAAAAAATTTTGTTAAGGAAATTAAGAAAATTGAGACTTGCAACAAAATACCACAATTTTTAGTAAAAAACTGCTACTTATTTTGATGTTTATAATGCAAAAAATAACTATAAACAAATTTTTCAAAAGTTGTTTTTGAATAGTTAAAATATTGTAAAATTTAATTGAAAATAATTAATTTATTTCAAGTATATTGTTACAATTTTTGAAAATCAACTTTTGAAGAATTTTCATCGCAAATTTTGAAAATAATTAAATTATCAAAAATTTTAATGAAAAATCTTTAAAGGTAAATTTAAAAATGAAAATAAGCTTATAATTTTTTAAAATTCAATAATTTAATATTTTCAATTACATATTTCCAAAAATAATTACATTTGAGAATTATTTTTAACATTTTGGAGAAAACAATAATGTTCAAAATTTTTAATTAAAATTCATCAAAAAATTCATTAGTTTTTTTAAGTTATATACAAAAAGTCTTTTAAGAAATACAATTATTTTCGAAAAATTACATTAATAAAATATTTTTAAAAACTAATTATTAGAATTGTTTTGTAATAATTTTTTAAGATTCAAAATTTACTTTCTGGACTTATTAAAATTTTTGAGAAATCATGGTCCTGTTTATAATTAAAATTCTTCATAAATTTGATAATTTTTATTTATACTTTTCAAAAATCCAATTATTTTTAATGGATTTTACCAAATTTTTATTGTTTGGAAATTTTTCAAAATTGAAAAACTATTATCGTTCATAAATTATTTTAAAATATTTTTAAAAAATAAGTTGTAAAAATTTCTTTATTTTAATTTTTTGAAAATATTATACTTTAACAACTTAAGAAAAAACAATGGTGTGTCACAATTATTATAAAAAATTGAGTTTATATATATTTAAATAGAGACGCATGTTTATTCCCAAAATCTTTTTTGACCAAATAGTTATTTGATATAAAACTACTTAACTTAAAATCCACATAATATGCACATTATTTGACATAAATTTCATTGGACACAAAAACCATTTAACATAAATATCATTTGTCATAGAATTCATTAAACAGAAATATTATGTTACATAAAACTCAGATAACTTAATTCCCATTTGACATAAAAATTATGTAACATAAATTTCTATTGACATAAAAATCATTTAACATAAATTTCTTTTGACATAAAATTCATTTAACGTAAATTTTATTTGTTATAAAATTCATTTGACATCAATTTCATTTGGCATAAATGTCATTTAACGTAATTCTCATTTGACATAAATATCATTAGACATAAAATTAACTTGACATAAATTTCATTTGACGTGAATATCATTTAACATAATTATTATTTAACGTAAAATTAAATTTATATAAGTTTCATTTAGCATAATTCTCATTTGGCATAAAATTTACTTGACATAAATTTCATTTGGTATAAATCCCATTTAACATAATTTTCATTTGACATAAAAGACATTTAACACAATTCTCATTTGTCATAAAAGTCATTCAACAAAATTCTCATTTGACATAAAAATTATTTTACACAAATTACATTTTACATAACAATATCGGCGCGAATTTTAAAAGTAACCAATTAGATATTATCAACAACATTGTGATTAGCCAATTTTGAAATTCGCGCCTATATTTCCATGTCAAATGATCTTTACGTAAAATAAAATTGTTTCTATGACAACTGAATTTTATGTCAAATGAGAATTATGTGTAATGAGTTATCCGTCAAATGAACTTTATATCAAGTGAACTTTATGTCAAATGAAAATTATGTTAAATGGGATTTATACCAAATGAAATTTATGTCAAGAAAATTTTATGCCAAATGAGAATTATGTTAAATGGAATTTATACTAAATGAAATTTATATAAATTTAATTTTACGTTAAATAATAATTATGTTAAATGATATTCACGTCAAATGAAATTTATGTCAAGCTAATTTTATGCCTAATGATATTTATGTCAAATGAGAATTACGTTAAATGACATTTATGCCAAATAAAATTGATGTCAAGTGAATTTTATAAAAAATAAAATTTACGTTAAATGAATTTTATGTCAAAAGACATAAAATAGAAATTTATGTTACATAATTTTTATGTCAAATGGGAATTAAGTTATCTGGGTTTTATGTAACATAATATTTCTGTTTAATGAATTCTATGACAAATGAATGTTAAATGGTTTTTGTGTACAATGAAATTTATGTCAAATAATGTGCATATTATGTGAATTTTAAGTTAAGTAGTTTTATATCAAATAACTATTTGGTCAAAAAAGAATTCGAGAATAAGCATGCGTCTCATTTAAATAATTGAATTCTAGAAGAACTTATTGGAAAATTATTTAAATTAATTGATTCAGAGATGAAGTTTAGTTGAAAATTGCAGAAAATAATTAAATTCAGGAAGAGTTATTAATTGTAATTTTTAGAAATTATTAAAATTCATAAATTTTACTCATTTTCCGTAAACATTAATATTTTTCTACTGTAAAAAGAATTTTGTTAGGGAAAGTAATTTTAATGTCAGTAAATTGTCAGGGGAATTGATATATTGAAACTTGTGACCACCCTGAGTAATAAAGGAGCGCGAATTTATAACACACGGGTTTACAACAAAAACTAAAAAAATTCCATGATCCGATTAGAAATTTCATGAGATTTCCATGAATCAAAATGAAATCCCACGACAATTCCATGATTTCCAAATTTTCCATGACTTGTAGAAACCCTGCTTAAAATTGAAATTATATTAAAAAATAAAATTTTGTTCGAAATAAAATTCAAGAATTAAAAATAATTTTCATATTTTTTTGTTTCTAGATTTCGTGGTCGTTTTGGCCAAATTCGCAAAGGCAAAATACAGACGAGAGAACGCAAGAAGTTTCAGAATCTCGTAGTGATAATTTTATAATAAATATGGAATCATCACCAGAATCGGATGTAATTGTTAATCCGCCGCCAAATTCACCGACAGATCACAATCATTATCATCATCACAATAATCACAATAATTCTGATTCAAATGATACATTTCAACGAGATGAAAACGAGACTGATAATGACGAGGGTCAAAATAATAATAATAATAATAATAGTGAAACCCAAGACGTTTATTCGGCTTTAAGTCCCGAGGCAAGGAAAATGCTCAAAATATTGCGAAAGTACATTCCATTAGTATTAATATTACTTGTGAAAATTGTTATTGATTATAAAGGGAAAATTATACATTTTTTGGTTTTGCTGTTAACGACAATACAAGCAGATTCTGATTTAAAACGTGAAATATCAAAACAACAAAATCGAAATTTTATGTCATTATTTGGAATATTTCTTTATATCATTGGTTGTATTCTTTTTGTTAATTTTCTCTTTGAACAACCAATAATGCCAAATATAACGACATTAACGAGCGCATGGGAATTACTTTGGATAGTGATGATCACGGATTTCATGATGAAACTCATTACAATATTATGCAAACTATGTTTCACGTGTTTTTCAGCAAAAATCGTTGCACTTCAAAATAGAGTAAGTATCTTTTTTTCTAATTATAAAATTAAAGCAAAAACAAATATTTACTATCCATTTTTTTTAGGGTAAATATTATCTAATGCTGGAAGCGACCTCACAACTATTTCGATGTTTCATTCCAATTCCATTTTGGTACAATTTTTTATTTGAAGCTTATCAGGGAATTGAGAAGTTTTACAGTTTCAGCCTCATCACTATTTACACTCTTAGTAAAGGAGGCAACATTATTTCTCAAATTAAATTATTCAAACACGCTGTGAATAAAATGATGCAACAAGTGGTAAGAACCTTATATCTGAAAATTTAATTTTTAAATTTTATTAATTTTTGAAAATAATTGAATTTTACAATGAATCTTATAAAAATTGCTGAATAGAATTGAATTTCGGCGAACAATTTTGCTGTTTATAAAGATAATTGAAATGTTGACGAGAATTTAAAAAAAAAATTTGAATTTCTAGATAGAATTTTGATATTTATTAAGATGGTTGAATTCTTTTAAAGAAATGCGTTAATGCTTCTAAATTGAAATTAATTTCAACAGAATTGAAAATAAATTATTGTCAGAAATAGAAAAAATTTAATGTTTTTTTTAGAATTCGTGGTAATTTCATAGTTTATGAGGCAAACAAAAAGACACAAAAATTGAGAATATTCTTATAAATTCTAAACATTTAATTTTCTCCAGTACTTTTAATAAAAATCCCTGACTTCTCCCTGATCTATGGCAACCCTGGAGATATTTGAAAGAAATAAGTTTTTAATTATATGAAGGTCATTATAGAAAAAGAAATAATTATTTATTTTTTAAGTGAAAAATTTTTATTTTTTTTTAAATTTCAGAGCGTCGGATCTTTTGCCACAAAGAATCAGTTGGACGAGTCTGGAGGAATTTGCACCATTTGCCACGATGAATACTTATCGCCAGTGAGACTTCACTGCAAACATATATTCTGCGAACTTTGTGTTATTACGTGGCTGGATCGAGAACGTTCCTGTCCTCTCTGTCGTGCTCCCGTTTCAGACGATCCAATCTATCGTGATGGACACACATCCTACTTTGTTCAACTTTTTTAATTACCCCTTTTTCAATAATTTTTTAATAATATTTTTAAAAATACGTCATGTATAAAGTTTTATTTTTTTGTTATTCATTTTTTTCAGTATTCATTCAAAGAGACATGTGATTACAATTCCGAATTTTTTTTAATCCTTTCTTAAATTAAAAATATTGAAACTCCATACTTGTAATATAACTGTACACAAAACTAGAATTACCACTAAACTATAGTAATTTATAAGATAAATTTAAGTTGTTTTTAGATATATAATAAGACTGGAAATTTAGTGCAAGTTACAAACATTAATTCCAGTTTATCTTTTTTTTTTGAAACTGTAATATTCTATTTCTTTAATTCGAAGAATTATCCAAAGTATATTTATAACATTTTGTGAAAAGATTTGTAAAAAAAAGAAGAAAATAGAAACAATGACTTAATTGTATTGTGAAAAACGATAATAATTCGTTTAATTTAATATTGTGGAACAACTGTGTATAAATAAAAAGATAACAAGTTGATTAAGAAAAACAAAAATTTTCATTAATGTTCAATATTTTTTTTTCGATTCTATAAAGTAAAAAAAAAATTATAATAATAATAATTGAGTAAGAATAGTATTTCTTAATAAAAAACATCACTGATTAACTCTTAGTTGAGCTTGAAAAAATTCACCATCACCCCTTGTTGCTTGTCGATTGATCTCCTTGTGACGATCTCGACTCACAATTTCCTCAAGAACTTCGCCATCGCCTTTGATTAATCTGCAAATATATTATTGACATTATAGAAAAAAATAAATAATTATATTTCTAACATTTTAGAATTTTATTTTATAATAATCGTGCCACCAAATTATAGACTACAAATCATTGAAAACTTTTCTCACAATATTTTTTTATAAAAATTAAAAAATCCCCTAACATGATAGGAATAGTCGTTAACGTTTATTTTAGGATTTTTGTTCTTTTAAGCACTATTATACTATCGCACCGATTGTAAATATTCATCATGTCCAAAAAAGAGCAAATCTTACATTTTTTTTATTATTTAAATTAAAAATAAACTTTTCATTCATATAAATTATTAAATTAACTAGCAAATGTTACGCGCGCTATCGAGCAAAACGTGATATTCAATTTATTATTGTTATAAAAATTTAAGAATTTTGTATTTTCAAATAATATATTCTTAAATAATTTCATAATCAAAATTTAAAAAATTCACTTATTAAGTAAAAAATTAATTATTATTGTTGTTATAATTGAACCGTCATAATTTAATTGTTTAATTGTTTTAATTAAAAAAAAATTAAATTAAATTAAATAATTAATTAATTAAATTAAAATTAATTAAAAATTAAATTTTGAGTTTAACGATCACTGCGAGTCAAAATGGAAATAATAAAACAAAAGTTGTTTTTTTGACATTAAATTAAAATTAATTATAAATAAAATTTTGAGTTTAACGATCACTGCGAGTCAAAATGGAAATTAATAAAACAAAAGTTTTTTTATTAAAAGTTTTTAAATTTTTTTTAATTATTTTTATTTAATTTAATTTTTAATTTTTTTTTAACCGTACAAGGCCTTTTAAATAATTAAACAATTAATTATTATTGTTTATATTTTTAAAAATTTTAATATAATTCTTCGAAACAATTCAATTATTTCTATAAATAGTAATATTCTTTGCAATACATTAATTTTAAAATTAAAAATATTTGAAAAGAAAAATTATTTTAAAAAGTTAGAGAACAAAAAGCAAACAACAACTAATTTCAAACTGCGAACAGATTTCCGGAATACAATGAATATTAATATAGATAATTAAAAAAAAAAGTATTTTTTTAGCCTGAAAACAATTTTTCAAAATTCGTTAGGTTATGTTTGAAATTTTTACATTAAAAATACAGAAAAGGGATCAACTCTCAATAAAAATCACTGCTACTGAAGTCTTCATTGCATCTAAAATAATTAATAAAAACTGATTTCGATTTTAAATTAGACATAGGAACTTTTAATTAAGATAAAAATAATACAAACATAACCTTAAAATCATTAGCTTCTTAGGTTCTTCAATCAAATTTCAAATGTTTTGTGCAAAAAAATATTATTTAAATATGTATTTTTCTATAGCTTTTATTGTTTAATAAATTGTAATTTCTGAAGAGGACAGCCATGCTGCCGAAATGTCAAAAAAACAACTTTTGTTTTATTATTTCCATTTTGACTCGCAGTGATCGTTAAACTCAAAATTTTATTTATAATTAAGATTACCGAGAATTTTTTGAAATTCAAGGGTACTTTTTGGCTTCTCTCCTTTATTTTTGTAAATAAATAAATTAATTAAAAAAAAATAACTAAAAATTCACAGATATTGCTTGAAAGATATAGAGTTTGAAAAAGTCTGGTAAAAAGTGTGTTTTATCGTTAAGCCAAGTAAGCACGTCTTTTACCTTCAATATGACGTTTATCTGAGAGAATTAAAGATAATTTTAATATTTTTTTAATAATACGCTTCACGATAAAGTGAAAAACTATTAAAATTATCTAGGAACTAAAGGTTGTTTTAACTTATTTCCATCTAGAAGAGTCAATGAAACTAAATGTCAACTAAATGAAAATGACTGTAAGACGTGCTAAATTTTTAAAAATCGTTTTTGTATCTTGTATAGTTACTTTTTTTATTGTAAATTATTTTAATTTAATTATAAGAAACATTAGTCAAACTTTGCCGATTAATGAAGATTTTTATAATAAAGAATTATCAAAAAGTAATTTGGAAATAAAATGGACTTTCACAGAAAAAGAGGTGAGCAAAAAAATACATTTTAATATTAAAAGCTATAATCAGGGTTTCTAAAAATTTCTCCTTATAAAATTCCATGATTTCCAGGTGATAAATGATAAAATTTCCATGACACATTACAACAAAAGTTTTGCCAGTTAAGTCACGAAAAAAAATTTTTGTTAGGGAAATTAAGAAAATTGAGACTTTTTCTACTTTTCTTCCAAACATTACAACAAAATACCACAATTTTTAGTAAAAAAAAACTGTTATTTATTTTGATTTTTATAATGCAAAAAATAACTATAAACAAATCTTTCAAAAATTGTTTTTGAATAGTTAAAATTTTGTAAAATTTAATTGAAATTAATTAATTTATTTCAAGTATTTTGTTACAATTTTTGAAAATCAACTTTTGAAGAATTTTAATAGCAAATTTTGAAAATGATAATAAATTTTCAAATATTTTAATTAAAAATCTTTAAAAGTTGATTTAAAAATGAAAATAAGCTTCTAATTTTTTAAAATTCAATATTTTTAATATTTTCAATTACATATTTCCAAAAATAATTACATTTTAGAATTATTTTTAACATTTTGGAGAAAACAATAATGTTCAAAAATTTTAATCAAAGTTCATCATAAAATTCATTAGTTTTTTTAAGTTATACAAAAATTCTTTCAAGAAATACAATTATTTTTGAAAAATTACATTAATAAAATATTTTTAAAAACTAATTATTAGAATTGTTTTGTAATAATTTTTTAAGATTCAAAATTTACTTTTTGGACTTATTAAAATTTTTGAGAAATCATGGTCCTGTTTATAATTAAAATTCTTCATAAATTTGATAATTTTTATTTATAGATACTTTTCAAAAATCCAATTATTTTTAATAGAATTTACCAAATTTTAATTGTTTGGAAATTTTTCAAAATTGAAAAACTATTATCGTTCGTAAATTATTTTAAAATATTTTTAAAAAATTAGTTGTAAAAATTTCTTAATATAATTTTTTGAAAATATATAATACCTTAACAACTTAAGAAAAAACAATGGGGAGTCACAATTATAAAAAATTGAGTATGTATTTAAATAATTGAATTCTAGAAGAACTTGTTGGAAAATTATTTAAATTAATTGAATTAGAGATGAAGTTTAGTTGAAAATTGCAGAAAAAAATTAAATTCAGAAAGGGTTATTAATTGTAATTTATAGAAATTATTAAAATTCACAAATTTTACTCATTTTCCGTAAACATTAATATTTTCCTACTGTAAAAAGAATTTTGTTAGGGAAAGTAATTTTAATGTCAGTAAATTGTCAGGGAAATTGATAAATTGACCGAGATTTCAAAATGAATTCTTTTAATAAAATGAACGGATTTTTTTTTAGATTGAAGAAATGTCTGGATTAGGTAAATGGCTAATTTCGTCTGAAATAAATCCACCCTCAATTAAAAATGTAAAAACTACACCTTATATGATTTTAATATGGAAATTTGGACCATTCTTAGAAAACCGACACATTAAACGATTTACATCAAAAAAGTAAATTTTTAAAATGAAAACAAAATTAATTTTTAGTAAAATTTTTTTTCATTTTAATAATTTTTAATTTCTCTATTCTAGATATTCACCATGGGAAAATTGTTCCGTTAAATGTACATTGACATACAATTCAAATGATTTGGAAAAAGCTGATGCTGTGATATTTCATATATATCAAACTAAAAATTCTAAAGAATTACCAATTAGAAACAATTACAATCAAAGATGGATTTTCCTAACTGATGAAGCGCCAGGGCACACATTTGTTCATCGACCACAAAATCTATCATCCTATAATAATTTTTTTAATTGGACAATGACTTATCGTATGGACAGTGACATTCCAGTACCATATGGAAGAACAGTAAAATTATCATCGCCATTTAATGAATCATTATTTATAAATGAGAAATTGAAGAAAAAAGAGAAACTCGTCGCAGTTATGATCAGTGATTGTTATAATAGTAAACATCGAATCGATTACATTAAAAAATTAAAAGAAATACTTGGCAGCAATTTAGATATTATTGGTAAATGTTTAAATGGCAATAAAACTGTATGTCCCGGTAATTATAAAAATGATTGTGAAAAATTAGAAAATTATAAATTTTATTTGTCCTTTGAAAATTCACATTGTCGACAATATTTCACTGAGAAATTATTTTGGAATGCTTATGAAAAATTTGCAATACCAGTAATTATGGGACCAACATATTATGATAGTAAACAATTATTACCGCCAAATTCATTTTTACATGTTGATAAATTTTCTGGTCCATTATCACTGGCTAATTATTTAAAACAGTTGAATACTAGTAATAATTATATTCAATATCACAAATGGCGAAAGAATTACAAAGTTCTTAATGAACATGGTTATTTTGGAAGTTCTTCAATACATTATTGTCGAGCTTGTCAGGCACTTCATTATAATTCAATAAATAAAAAAGTTTACGATAATTTAGAAAACTTTTGGAATAAGTCAAAAGATTGTATTATTTACTGACAGAAAAAATAGTAAAATTTTATTAAAAATTATTCCAAACATTTTTCTTTAAAGATAAATTCAAAATTTTCTAATAAATCTAAAATTAATATTATATGTAAATAAAATGTTACGTTTCTGTACAATAAAAAAAATAACAAAGAGAAATTAATGGATAATTCTATATTAATTATAATAATAAAAATTTAAATTGTTTAAAAATTGAATTTATAAATTAATAAATGTTTAAAAATTATATTAATTTTAGTTCATTCCCTACAATTTTTGTTAATAAAGTTTTTTTCTACGTTCAATAGTTTACTAGATTGATTCCTGAAAAAAAGTGTTCAAGTATAAATAAAGGATTTTGACAAAATTAACTTTATACGTACCTGAGCATAAAAGACAGGAACAAGAATAAAGAATTTAAAAATAAATAAATAATACAGTTGAACAATTTAAAATAATATTTTGTAGAGGGACTGGTAACTCTAACTGGTAACCTCTAAAGTAAAAAAAAAATTGTAAAACAAAGAACAATATAATAAGAATAAATTTCAAATAATTTTGCAAGATCTAGTTACTAATACACTTTTCATAAAAAATAATATTAAATCAAAATCTCTGAAGAAATAATGTTTTTCTGTGATTTTAACTTTTAACTCAGACGGAAAACGTATTTTTCATCCAATAGCTTCTTTCCCCCATTGAACCATTCTCAAAAATCGTAATTGTTTTAATATTGTGAAAAATATTTTGTTTCAATATTATTTCATAAATAAAATTATTGTTTATAATTTTTCAAAACAAAATATTTTTATCATTATTAAAATGATTATACGCTTCGCACTTATTTACGAAAAACTATTTAGTACCTCTTTACAGCTTGCTACTATTTAGATACTTTTTTTTAGTTTTCTGTCACTAAAAGTTACTTTTTTCTTGTTTTTTGAAACTTTTGAAAATTTTATTAAAATGCCTCAAAATAATTGAATTTTCGGAAATAATTTTGTTATTTAGCGACATAATTGAATTCTTTCGAAGAATTATTCATGCAAATAATATTGAATTCTTGGGAAGAATTTTATTAAAATTTAAAAGAATAATTGAATTATTTCAAAAAAATTGTAATTAAAATTGTATTTAAAATAATTAATTGCTTTCGAACAATTTTATTAAAATAATTGAAAATAATTGAATTCTCCTGTGAAAAATTCTAATATTGTTGTAAATGATTGAATTCCTCCAAAGAATTTAAAAAAAGAACATTTTTTTAAATAATTGATTTTTTCGAGGAATTGGAATTAAATTTTTAAGAATAATTAAATATTTTGAGCAATTCCTGTAAGATTGTATTAAAAATAATTGAAATCCTACGATGAATTTTATTATTTATGAAAATAATTAAACAGTTGCTAACAATTTTATTAAAATTTTCAAAAATAATTGAATCCCTCTGAGAAGAATTTTATTGATTATGAAAATAATTGAATTTTGCAAAGAATTTTATTAAAATGCCTCAAAATAATTTAATTTTTGGGAATAATTACATTTTTTGAGCAATTCCTGTAAAATTGTATTAAAAATAATTGAAATCTAATAAAAGTACCCAAATATAAAAATACAAAAATATATATTTATGTGCTGTATGTGATTCTCATCATTTAGAACAAAATGTTTCTTTTTATGTTTAAAAGATCCTCTTCATATTATACATTTTATACTCCCTCACTCAGTAAAATAAAATTTGTGTAACTAAATCTTTTAAAATTGTTTGAAATTCAGTTTTACTCAATAATTTTTTTTTAGTTTTGAGGCCGTGTATCCTGTTTCTGTAAAATCAAGTGTTGTATATTATTAGAAGAGGAATTTGTTACCTATGTCTGCCAGAATCCTTATCGTAAACCTTACGAACGACATTCTGTCTTTTTTCCCATTGCTCTTTGGTCATTGGTGCCATTGCCTTGGACTTATCAACAGCTTCTACAGACCCCTCTTCAGTTGTTTTCTCCTTTGGATTCTTTTTCTTCTCCTTCAATGGCTTATCTTTGCGAGTCTTCATTTTCTTTAATTTCTTCTTAAGCTTCTTCTTCTTACGCTTTTTCTCCGCCTTCTTAAGTTTTTTCGCCATTTTTTTCCTCTTTTTACGCTTCTTCTCGTCCTCGGAACTTGAAGTTGAATCAGTTGAACTTGAATCATCTGTATCGCTACTGCTCTCACTGCTCGAGCTCGATGATGTTGATGATGAGCGTGCACGTTTTTTCAATTGTACATTTTCCTCAGATGGACGTGACGATGATTCCTCCTCAGTTATTGATTTTGGTTTATCGCGAGCAGTATCAATTTGATGTGATGATTGATCGGAACGTGCACTGTCGCGACTCTCATATTGTCGTGATTCCTCAGCCGATTTATACGATGTTGTACTGTAATCCTGCGAAGGACGATCCTTGGAAAATCTCTGACGTTGAGCGTAACGATCTCTCATATATGTCTCATTATTACGTTGATACATTCCACGTCGGCGATATTCGTAACTCATCGATTGATTCATTCTACCTCCTTGCGATCGATTAAAATTATTGTAATTTCGATTATTCATGTCACGTCCACCGCGCATTCGACGATCATCAAAATTTCGATAATTTCGATTCATGTTGCCCCTTTGTCTGTAACTAAGAGAATTCAATTAATTATTACTGAATTAGACACTTGTGTTTTTCATTAGTGAAAAACATCTCGAAAATTCTAAGGACGGGATTTTCTTTTTTAATTTACGAAAATCGGGTCCTTAGTTTAAAAAAAAACAACGTTCATCTGTTTTTTAACTGGGGAAGAGTGAAAAGACTTAGAATATTTCAGTGTGATTTAAAAATTAATAAGAACGATGCATTGGTATAAATTCGGCCAAAACGGATAAAAGTAATAATTATGCTTAATCTGCTTTCTGTTATAACACAAATTTTTTCAATCAGAAATTGTTCTTTAAAATAGTAGAAAAAAGTCGTGTGTGATTACAGAAAAAAACAGATTATCATGTAAGGAATATATAAAAGTATCCGAAGAAATTAAAGGTAGATAAAGTAAGTAAATATTCAAGGTAAGAAATATAACAGGGTTGCCACAAAAATTTAACTTCGTTTTTCCCTGATTTCCAGACAGAATTTTGACTTTTTCCCTGACCCTAAAGAATATTCCGATTTGCTCTAAAAATTATTAGATACTGAGAAAAATGTTCTAATACATTTAATTAAGAATTTCTTTCATTGCAAAATTATTCGAAAACATCAATAACAATAATTAAAATTTTTCAAAACATTAAAATTCAAACCTTTCTTAAATTCAACAAATTATAAGAATATTATTATAAACATGAACATTTTTGTTGGGGTTTTTGTTATTTATCAAGATAATTGCGTTAAAACTTTTAAAATAATTAAATAATATTAAAAAATTCATTCTGGTCAGAAATAGAAAAAAATTTTGAATTTTCTTATGAATTCTAAAAATTAAATTTTTTCCAGTACTCTTAATAAAAATCCCTGAGTTTTTCCTAAATTCCCTGACCTGTGGCAACCCTGTTATAAACATAGAAGTATAAAAATAGAAGATATTTATAAAAGGTAAATAACAGTGATAGAAAATTAACGTTTTCCGTTCTGGACCAATTTTCAACCAAATTAAACATCATTCTCCATTTTCTGAAAACATGAAACAAAAGTGGATGATAATTAAAAAAAACATGTTCTTAAGAGTTTGAAATTAAAAGAACTCACCATTATCTTCAAATATCAACAACAACCTTTTGTATCCTCATATTTAAAAAGGAAAGTTACAATATGAAAAACATTGGTTTCAATTTCCAAGGTTCGCGCTCTTCCCCAGCGAATAAAACTGAAATGTATGTATGTTTTTTTTTTGTTTGAAAAATTTCGTACTTCATGCCTCTCATTCCACCTTGATTATTGTCGTTGTACATCCGATTTGAAAATGTGCGATCGAATCTCTCCATTTTGTACCTGGACTCACGTTGACTATAGGTGCGTTGCTCGCGTACATAATTGTCACGTCCGCCCTGAAGTTGAACGCCGCCATTGCGACGATCGCGCGACGACGATTGATTGTATTTTTGTGACATTGCACTATTATTGCTGTTCGATGATTTTGGCTTGATTTGCTTCCTTGAAAGCGAACCACCACGACTTACTGTTGACGTTGAACTGGAACTCCCGCTAGAGCTGGCGCGTCTCTGTTTCGATTTATTTCGTTTATCCTTACTACATGCGTTACGACGCTTCTGCGATAATCCCGAGCCACTTGCGCTCGATGAACTTGAATTTTTACGTTTTCGCAATTTTCCCTTTAGACGATCCTGCGACCTTGACTCTTGCTTCGAAACAACATCACTCATTTTGTTGAACGTGATGAAACTGAAAATGGCGAACCTGTAAATCATTTAAAATATCAATAAAAAAATATATTATACAAGAAATTAACAATTAAAAAATTTCAAACATTTTACAAAGTTGTCACAAAAATTCTAAATATTTCATTAATTCTAGAAATTTAACTCATAAGAATATTATTATTATAAAACATGAATTTTCAAAACAATCAAAAAAAAATTGTCAACATTTCAATTACCTTTATTAAATGAATAGCAAAATTCTTAGGCAAAATTCAATTATTTTCAGGAATTTTAATAAAATTCACTACAAAATTCAATTATTTTCAAAAATAATTGTATGCATCACAAGAATTCAATTATTTTCAAAAATTTTAAAAAAATTCATGGCAAAAATGCAATTATTTGAAATATTTCACTATTTTAATAAAATTATCTAAAAGAATTTAATTATTAAACAAAAAATTTTATAATATTCTACACGAATATTCAATTATTTTTAACAAATATAAAAATTTCACAAGAATTCAATTATTTAAAATTTTTATAATATTCATTGTAAAATTCAATTATTTTCATAAATAACTAGAATTCATTGCAAAAAATTCAATTATTTCAAAAATTAATCAAATTCTTCACAGGAATTAAATTATTTTCAAAAAATCCAAAAAAAATGACATTTTAATTATCTTGATAAATGTATTTGGAAAATTCTTCGACAATATTCAATTATTTTCAGGAATTTTAATAAAATTCATTACAAAATTCAATTATTTTCAAAAATAATAGTATGTATTACAACAATTCCATTTTTTTAAAGTAATAAAATTCAATTATTTCAAAATTTTTAATAAAATTCATGACAAAAATTCTATTATTTTCAAAAATTTTTTCTTAATTTAATGATTTTGAATATTTTACTATTTTAATAAAATTTTCCAAAAGAATTTAATTATTAAACAAAAATTTTGATAATATTCTACACAAACATTCAATTATTTTCCATAAATATAAAAATTTCACAAAAATTCAAATACTTAAAATTTTTATAAAATTCATTGTAAAATTCAATTATTTTCAAAAATTAATAATACTCTTCTCAGAAATTTAATTATTTTCAAAAAAAATTGTCAACATTTCAATTACCTTTATAAATAAAAAGCAAAATTCTTCGACAAACTTCAATTATTTTCAGGAATTTAAATAAAATTCATTACAAAATTCAATTATTTTCAACAATTTTAATAAAATTCATGGCGAAAATTCATTTATTTTCATAAATAATAAATCTCATTGCAGAATTTTAATTATTTTTACTACAATTTTAATCGAATTCTTCGAAAAATTTATTTATTCTTAAAAATGTTATTAAAATTCGTCCAAAGAATCCAATTATTTAAAAATTAGTTGATAAAATTGTGTATGACGATGAATGAGATTTTAAGAAACATTCAATTATTCAATAAATGATCTATGTTTGTGTTTAAATAAATTGAATTCTCGTAGAATTTTCTAATGAAAAATGATTTAAAATTTAACTCCAGGTAAAATTTTAAATTAAAATCTTTGAAAATTTTAATTTTTCATATTTTTAATTAAAAATTCTACATGGAAATAATTTTTTTTAAAGACCTTAATTGAAATTTTTTTCAAATTATTTCAAATTTTTATTTTCTAATGTAATTTAATTGAAGAATTTGCGAATAATCGAAATTTCGTAAAATTGAATTGTAAACAAATGAATTTGATAATTCTCAAAAGGAACTTTATCAAAAATTATTTAAAATAATTGATTCAAAGAAGAATTGTAGTTATAAAAATTCTAAAAAATAATAATTGAATTGAAATGATGAAAATAATTTTAAAGCAGTTTTAGAAACAATAGTCGATGATATTTTATTTTTTAATATAAAATAATGATTTTATCACTTGTTCATACCTTTAATTATTTTATATATAAAACATGAAGAAAGCGATCACTTCGAGTCGAATTTTTCCATAAATGTAAGTTCTTTAAATTTTCTAATTAAAGAAATTTTATTGAAATTTTTTTAGTGTTTTTAATTAAAATTCTTCTACAAAATCTATTACTTTTTAATAACTAATTAAATACGTATATTAAAAAATATAACTAATTTCAGAAGAATTGGAATTGTGAACATTTTTCAAAAATCTAAGTTCTTTAAAATTTCTGATTAAATTAATAAAGTTATTAAAATGGATATTTTTTTTCATGCTCTAAATAAAGACAGCAAACTAATCTTATATCGGAATTTTTCAAAATAAATAAATAAACTTTAAGTATTTATTTGAATAAAAAAATTACTCACCTCAGAAATGTAGCATTTCAGAGAAACATACAGAAATTCTTGGACGAAGTTCGTTTTGCGCATTATACAAAAAAATCCCAGTTTTTTTAACCCTTCACAAGCATTGCGACAAATATTTTTTCGATGTACGATGACGCCAATGATAATCTCCAAGCGCGATTGATTTTTCGTTACCTTATAAATAGGATAAACCTATTTCACATCTCATATAGCAATCTTTTATTGCAGAACTAAAATACACAAGAAATATTTTTATTGAATACGGTATTAAATATAGTTTTCAGTAAATTTCAATAACATTTTTAAGAAAGCCCAAATTAATATAATAAGTCGATAATTTAACATAACCTATAAATGTGTTGTAAGAGGGGAAAAAACCGCAACTTTCAATTTTTTTTTTATTAAAGAAAAGAAGAAAATTAATAAAGGAAAAAATTTTAAGAAATAATTAATGAATTATTAGACATTATTTACAATAAAATATTACACGATTACACATTTACCTTCGTGACTCGTTGAAACGAAGAGGAAGACAAAGAGACGAAGAGGAATGAAGACAAAGATAGAAAACTTCATTTTGAAACTTTTGAAACAAGAACCACATGAGAACCGAAACGCGGTTCACGAACCGGAAGTTCAGTTTCATTTATAGAAAATTTAAAAATTTGGTTTTGAAAAATTTACTGAAAAAAGATAATAAAAACAGGGTTACCAAAAAAATTTAATTTTGTTTTTTCCTGATTTTAAGAGAAAATTTAGACTTTTTTCCTGACCCTTAAAGAATATTCTGATTCACTCTAAAAATAATTAGATACTCAAAAAAATGTTCTATTACATTTATTTACGAATTTCCCTATAATTGTAAAATTATTTAAAAACACCTATATATAACTTCATTTTCAAATAAATAATTAAACTATTATTTTTCCATGGGAACTAATATAAGATTTTCAAAATTTATAATTCAAACCTTTTAAACTTCAATAACTTTTAATAATAATAATAATATTAAAACATGAAGATATCGATCACTCCGCGTCTTCGATTATTCGATTATTATTCGCATCGCAAATTCTTCAATTAAATATTCGATAGAAAATAAAAATTTGAAATAATTTAAAAAAAAATTCGATTAAGGTCTTTGAAAAAAATTAGCATAAAATTAGTTCCATACAATTTTCAATTAAAAGTATGAAACATTCAAATTTTAAAAAATTTTAATTTAAAACTTTTACAAAATTCAATTATTTCTAAAAATTGCAATTATTAGTAACTTCTCAAAAATTCAATTATTTTTTAAAACTTTAACTGAAACTAATTTTTAAATCAATTTTTATTAGAAAATTCTACGAGAATTCAATTTATTTAAATACAAACATTATATAGATAATCTATTGAATTATTGAATGTTTCTTAAAATTTAATTCTTAGATACATAATTTTATCAACAAATTTTTAAATAAATGAATTCTTTGGGCGAATTTTAATAACACTTTTAAGAATAAATACATTTTTCGAGGAAATTGATTAAAATTGTATTAAAAATAATTGAAATTCTATAAATTAAGAACTAATTTTGAAAATAATTGAATTTTGTAATGAATTTCATTAAAATTTCTGAAAATAATTGAATTATGCCGAAGAATTTTGCTATTCTTTTATAAAGATAATTGAAATGTTGACAATTTTTATTTGATTTTTAAAAAACGTTTAAATTTCTGAGAAGAATTTTATTAATTTTTGAAAATAATTGAATTTTACAATGAATTTTATAAAAATTCCTAAATAGAATTCAATTTCGGCGAACAATTTTGCTGGATTGTATTTATATATAAAGATAATTGAAATGTTGTTTAAACAAATTTTTGAAAATAATGAATTTATGGATAGAATTTTGATGTTTATTAAGATGGTTGAATTTTTTGAAAGAAATGCGTTAATGTTTTCAAATTGAAACCTAATTTTAACAGAATTGAAAATAAATTATTGTCAGAAATAGAAAAAAATTTAAGGTTTTTTTAGAATTCGTGATAATTTTATAGTTTATGAGGCAAACAAAAAAAACACAAAAGTTGAGAACTTTCTTTTAAATTTAAAAAATTTAATTTTCTCTAGTACTTTTAATAAAAATCCCTCACTTTTTCCTGATTTCCCTGATAAATTCTATTTTTCCTGACTTTTCTCTGAATTCCCTGATTTCCCTGACCTGTGGCAACCCTGAAAAGAATATCAATAATAAACAGAAAAAGTTTAACAAGAAAAATTATTTGATTCAATTTGATTTAAAAAAGCTGAAATGAAAAGAAAAAGTAAAAAAATCTTTAAAATAAATCTAATAATATAAAAACATTAACTTACCAAACGCATAAATAAAATACCTATATGACATTTTAAAAAACAAATGAAAAATCTTTTTACTTCTGTCAAAATTTAAAACTGATTTAAAATTTTCTTGTTCCAAAATTGTTTAATAATGTCGCTAACATTAAAAGATTGTCAATGCGAAAATAAAGTAAGTTCTTTAAAATTTTTATACTCCAAAAAATATTTTTAATTAAACATATTTATATATAAATGTAACAATCAACTTTATTAATTAATTAATTAATAAGCTTCTTCATGATTTTTATTGTGTCCAAACATCAGATTATTTTTAATTTATTATATACAAATTAATTTTTGTCTTTTTTCTGTTTTACATAAAAAAAAAGGATTCAACAAATGCAATGGAATTTACAAAAATGGAACCTGCACTTTGTCTTGAATTAAAAACAATTGTAAAAGCTCTAAGCATTCCAGGAAAAGGGATTCTAGCGGCTGACGAATCGCCCGCTAGTTTAGAAGAGAGATTTCTAAATATGAATTTGGAAAATACAGAAATTACTCGAAGAGATTACAGAGAAATGTTAATTTCAACTGAAGAGGTTAAATTTTAATAAACCGAAATTATTTTACTTATATTTAAAAGCAGATTGAGCATTGTATCGAATTGTTGCGGAAGCATAGATTTTTGATGCGGTTATTATAGTATCAATTTTAACATTTTTTAAGAAAATGTTACAATTTTTTACAATAATTTTTATTTATTATACGTTTATAAAACTACATTTTTTGGGATTAAAGAAAATTAAATTATAAATATTTAAATTTATATACGCGTATATATAGGCAGAACTTAGTCAATATATAAGTGGAATTTTATTTCACCACGAAACTTTGTATCAAAAAACGAGTAAGGATGAGCAATTTATTGAATTTTTGCGCGAACAAAATATTATAATTCCTGGAATAAAAGTCGATAAAGGTTTGGTGCATTTATTTGGAACCGAAGGAGAAAATGTAACTCAAGGTTTAGATGATCTAAAGGCAAGATGCATTCAGTATAAAAAAGATGGATGTCATTTTACAAAATGGAGATGTGTTTTTACTATTTCTGATAATTTACCAAGTCACATGGCTATTGAAACCAATTGTCATCTTCTCGCAAGGTATTTATAATGATAAAAATTTTTTTTTTTTATTAGTTATTTTTTATTTTTATTTTTATTTTTATAGATACGCAACAATTTGTCAAAGTGCCAGATTGGTTCCTATTGTTGAACCCGAAATTTTAACTGACGGTAATCACTCAATTGAAAAATGTCAACTGGTTCTAGAAGAAATTCTGTCAACTTTATTTCATATTTTTCATAAATATAATGTTTATTTGGAAGGAATTATTCTTAAACCAGCAATGGTTCTGCCAGGAAACAAAACCGAAATTCGCAGTCCCAAGATAAGTTTTATTTGAATAAAATGTTTAATAACAGGGTTGCACAGATCAGAGAAGTCAGGAAATTCAGGGAAAAGTCAGAGAAAGTAGAATTGGTCAGGAAAATCAGGGAAAAGTCAAGAATTTTTAGTAAAAGTATTGGAAAAATTAAATTTTTAAAATTCATTAGAAAACTGAATTTTTGTGTCTATTGTTTGCCTCAAAAACTATATGAAATTAATACGAATTCTAATATATATAAAACTATTTATTTTCATAAATAGATGAACTTCAAAAGGTTTTAATTTTAAATTTTACAAAACTTCAATTTTGAATGAATTTAATTAAAAATTTTTAAAAACTTAGATTTTTGGAAAATTTTAATAATTCAAATTTTTCTGAAATAAGAATTTTAGTTAAAAACACTAAAAAAAATTAATTTTGAAGATACATGTGATTGCAGAAATTCAATTTATTTTCAAAAATTTTTTTTAAATTCTCCTCAAAATTTCAATTATCTTTATAAATATAATAAAATTCTTCTTCAAGATTCAATTATTTTCAGAAATTTTAATAAAATTCATTACAAAATTCAATTATTTTTAAAAATTTTAATCGAATTGATGGCAAAAATTCAATTATTTTCATAAATAATAAAATTCAATTATTTTCAATTATTTTAATAAAATTTATGACAAAAATTCAATTATTTTCAAAAAATTTTCTTAATATAATAATTTTCAATATTCTACTATTTTAATAAAATTGCTCAAAAGTACATTTAATTATTAAACAAAAATTTTAAGAATATTCTACACGAACATTCAATTATTTTCAAAAAATATAAAAATTTCACAAGAATTCAATTATTTAAAGTAGAATTTGCATAAATATTTCCGAAAAAAACCAATTGTTCGAAACTTTTTTCATAAAATTCTTCGCAAAAATTTAATTATTTTTATAAATAATAAATCTCATTGCAGAATTTTAATTATTTTTAATACAATTTTAATTGAATTCCTCGAAAAATGTAATTGGTCTTAAAAATGTTATTAAAATTCATCAAAAGAATTCAATTGTTTAAAAAAAATTTTTTTTAATTCTATACGCTCATTTAATTATTTTCATAAATAATACAAATTTCACTGGAAATTTAATTATTTATAAATTTTTTTATAAATTTCTTCACAATATAATTCAATTGATTATTTTCATAAAGAATCCATTTTTTATAAGGATTCAATTATTTTTTTACATCATAAGATTGTTTTTAATAATTCAATTATTTTTAATACAATATTAATATTGAATTCCTCGTCAAATGCATTTATTCTTAAAATTTTTTTTAAAATTCGTTAAAAGAATTTAATTTTAAGAAACATTTCAATTATTGAATAAATTTTTTATTTTTATATTTAAATAATTGAATTCTCTTAGAATTCTTTTAGTAAAAATTAATTTAAAAATAACTTTTAGTCAAATTTTTGGATAATAAATAATTTAATATTAAAAACATTATAGGACGAATTTTTAGAAATAATTGAATTTTGAGAAGGTGTAAAATTAAAATTGTTAAAAATCTGAATTTTTCATAGTTTTTACTAAGAATTCTGTATAATTAATTTTTTTGAAATAAGTTTGAAGAACTTTTCTTAAAAACATTTAAAATAATTGAATTTTGAGGAAAAATTCAATTATTTTTAAAAATATAAGTAAATTCTCTATAAAAATTCAATTGTCTTTATTAATAACAAAATTCTCCTCTAAACTTTAGTTACTTTCGAAAATTGTTAATAAAATTCATGTCAAAAATTCAATTATTTTCAAAAATTTTTCTTAGTTTAATGATTTTAAATATTCTACTATTTTAATAAAATTTTCTAAAAATATTTAATTATTAAAAAAAAAATGCAATAAAATTCTACAGAAACATTTAATTATTTTCATAAATAATAAAAATTTCACTGGAAATTTAATTATTTACAAATTTTTTATATAAACTTAGCAATAATTCAATTATTTTCACAAATAATAATTCTAGTAATTATTCTAGTAGAATTTTTTAATAATAATTGAATTAAAAATGAATATTTTAGTTAAAATTTTAATAATTAATAATATTAAAAGCATCATAGCATGGATTTTTAGAAATAATTGAATTTTGAAAATTAAAATCTTTGAGAATCGAAATTTTTTATACTTTTAACTAACAATTATTAATTCTGTAGAATGATTTTTTTTTAAATAAGTTTATTTCAGTTTCTTTTTAAATTATTGGAAGTTTTTATTTTTTTATATTATATTTTATTAAAGAATTTCCGAATATTAATCGATTTATTATTTATGAAAATAATTGAATTCTTGCAACGAATATTATTATACATTTTTTTTAAGTAATTGAATTGTTTTGAGAAATTTTATTAAAATAATAGATTTTGAAAATATTTGAATTTCAGCAAAGTACTTCATTATTTATTGTGAAATATAATTGAATTCTTGCAAAAAATTTTCCAATGCTTGAAAATAATTACATTTATCAAAGAATTTATTCAAAATGGTATTAAAAATAATTGAAATCTTATGAAAAATTTTACTATAAATGAAAATATGTAATTGAATTTTTAGATTGAATTTTATAATATTTTTTTAAATAATTGAATTTATGCGTGAAAAATGTTATTACTTGTAAAAATAATTGAATTCTTGTGAAAGGATTTTATTAGAATTTTTGTAAATACAGTGACGATTTTTTAAAAATATCTAAGTGACTTCTGTAAAGTCTTATTCTTTTCAAAATTTTATCATCTTTCAAAACATATACCTACCGAAAAAAATTTTAGTTTTCATAAATTTTATTTTCAAAAATTTTTTTCATTCCCTTGAAAATGGATGGACTCACAATTTTAGCCGGTATTGTAATTTGATTTATTTTGAGAAATTTTATGGAAATTTAAATTATTATAAAACATGAAGAAGTCGATTACTCCGAGTCGAAGATTCGGAGTGATCGATATCTTCATGTTTTATAATAAATAATTATTTTTATAAGTTTTCACTTTCAAAAGGTTTGAATTCAAAATTTTTAAAAATCTTCATTTCTAGGGAAAAATAATAATGATTAAATTATTTATTTAAAAAAGAAGTTATTGATGTTTTCGAATTTTAGGGTCAGGAAAAAAGTCAACATTTTGTTTGGAAATCAGGGAAAAACAAAATAAATAACTCCAAATGAATTATTAATAATTATTTATTAAAAGTTCCTATATAGTGATAAAATTATTATTTGGCGCTTATCTTAATTTTCAATGAGAGTGACAAAATTGAAAAGTTTTGTTCTATCTTCAGTTTAATTAAACAGGTGGTTGCCGAATACACTATTGCAGCACTTTTAAGAACAGTTCCTGCTGCAGTTCAAGCCATATTTTTTCTCAGTGGAGGTCAGAAGGATTCAGAGGCATTCTCAAATCTCAATGCAATTAATCTCTTCAATGCTAAAAAACCGTGGACTCTAAGTTTCTGTTTTGGTCGAACTCTTCAGGTAAACACAAGATTTAATTATGATAAAAAGTTAGTAATGAATTTTGAAACTATACTTCAAGTTGATTTTTATATAAAATTTATTTAAACAGAAACTTTATTTAAACAAAATTTAAAAATAGAGTTAATTTAAAATTTAGAACGAAGCGATGAAAGTTTGGAGTGGAGAACGTAATAACATTTCCAAGGCTCAAGGAGTATTTTTGAAGAAAGCACAATTTGCTTCACTGGCTTCTCTAGGAAAATATGTTGAAAATTAGAATATGTATTACTTTTTATTAATTTACAAAAATTGTTTACTGTACTTGTTGACTAAATGCAATATTTAATAAAATAACTTACCAACACCAGAAATTTTGCCTTATTATATTACGTAGATATAATATTATGGTCTGTCCTCTTTTAAATACCCCTTTTACAATGTACATTTGGACTTTTAAATTTTTCAATTCTGTATTTCTCCCATTCATTGTGATTTAAAGTTTGAAAATTATTGACTTGAGCAATGAACTCCAAATAATCGGAAATCTTCAAAAGTTCCCGATCTCTGTGTATATTAACGTGGGATTTTTTAAAAGGTTTTATCCAAAGACCCGACTGTCGATTTAGAATGAAATTTTTCGACAAATCATCCACTATAATTGTATTCATCGATGAGTATTGTTTATATTTATTCCAAATTAGAGAAAGAGGTTTTACCAAAATATGTTTATCGTCGATAACAGCCATTGCTGAGAGATCTAAGCAAAAGGCAATCTTATAATTAGGATTGTCAATTGCATTTAAAAATTCCAATTTTCTTCTGATATGTTGCATTTCCGTTGCTGACCAAATGACAATATCATAATTATTGTAGGCTCTCGTTAAAAATTCCTGTAGAAACGGTCTCACTAATTTATGATCAAGTAGAGTATTGTCAATATCAAGAACAAGTAATTTTTTTCCTTCACGGAAAGAATTTAATTCTTCGATATTGTAGTTTGGTATATTCTTCTCGAACGATTCAATACATATGCACTGAAAGTTTAATTTTTTTTTATAATTATTAGATCACCAATTTTTTGTATTTTAAACTTTAACTCTAATTTTATAGTTAAGGGGTTAGACCACCCTGAAACTTTTTCAAAAGCAAAAAAAAATCGAATTTTTTTGCTTAATTTCAAAGTATTAAGGCTTAGGAATAATTTATAACAATCGCGATGCTAATATACTTTTTACAAATTTCTCCTTATAAAATTCCATGATTTTTCCATGATTTCCAGGTGATAATTTGAGACTTTTTCGACTTTTCCTCCAAACATTGCAACAAAATACCACAATTTTTAGTAAAAAACTGCTACTTATTTTGATGTTTATAATGCAAAAAATAACTACAGTAGAGACTCCATTATCCGGACTAATGGATGCAGGCACTTGTCCGGATAATCAAAAATCCGGATAATCGAGTAAAGTACGAATTAAACAAATTTTTTATTCATAATTTTATGTATTTATTTGCATATGTATTAAAATAAGACTGAAATAAACTAAAACTTTTAAAGTCAACATTAATAAATATTTAGTTAGAAATATTTCAAAATATTTACATAAACATTTTCTTAAAATAATTAAAACACTTTAAAACGCAACATTTCGTGTAAATAAATTTAAAATAGAAGTTAATTAACGGCTTGAGACCTTGTAAACTTTATATTAAAAAAAAAATTTGTAATTTTAAATTTGTCCGGATAATCGAATATCCGGATAATAGGGGTCCGGATAATGGAGTCTCTACTGTATAAACAAATTTTTCAAAAGTTGTTTTTGAATAGTTAAAATTTTGTAAAATTTAATTGAAAATAATTAATTTATTTCAAGTATATTGTTACAATTTTTGAAAATCAACTTTTGATGAATTTTCATTGCAAATTTTGAAAATAATTAAATAATAATAATAATAATAATATAAAAAATATATATATATAAATATATATATATATATATTAATATATATAATAATAATAATTAAATAAGCTTCTAATTTTTTAAAATTCAATATTTTTAATGTTTTCAATTACATATTTCCAAAAATAATAACATTTTAGAATTATTTTTAACATTTTGGAGAAAACAATAATATAATGTTCAAAATTTTTAATTAAAATTCATCAAAAAAATCATTAGTTTTTTTAAATTATACAAAAATTCTATTAAGAAATACAATTATTATTTTCGAAAAATTACATTAATAAAATATTTTTAAAAACTAAAAATTAAAATATTTTTGAAACATTTTACCAAATTTTAATTGTTTGGAAATTTTTCAAAATTGAAAAACTATTATCGTTCAAAAATTATTTTAAAATATTAAAAAAAAAATTAATTGTAAGAATTTTTTTAATATAATTTTTTGAAAATATTAAACATTAACAACTTAAGAAAAAACTATGGAGAGTCACAATTATTATAAAAAATTGAGTTTATGTAATTAAATAATTGAATTCTAGAAGAACTTTTAAAAAATTATTTAAATTAATTGATTTAGATATAAAGTTTAGTTGAAAATTGTAGAAAATAATTAAATTCAGGAAGGGTTATAATATTCTAATTTTTAGAAATTATTAAAATTTATAAATTTTACTCATTTTTCATAAACATTCATATTTTCCTACTGTAAAAATATTTTTGTTATAGGGAAAGTAATTTTAATGTCAGTAAATTGTTTGGGAAATTGATAATTTGAAACTTGTGACCATCATAAGTAATAAAGGAGCGCGAATTTCAATCACACGGTTACAACAAAAACTAAAAAAGATCCATGATCGGATGATCCGATTAGAAATTTCATGAGATTTCCATGATTACATAATTCAAAATGACATTCCATAACAATTCCATGATTTCCAGGTTTTCCATGACTTGTAAAAACCCTGTTAATATATTCAAATAATTACAATAGATATGACCGTCCGTTAGTTCGAGAAGGATGAAGAAAACACACATATCCTTCTTTAAATCGTTTTTCCGGCTTTGGCCTTTAACCTAAAGTCATTATTGTTGACGGACTTTAACTCACATTAGATTCATCATTAAGGGGCCGTTCAAAAAATACGTAACGCTATTTTTCGGAAATTTGGACCCCCCCTCCCCCCATGTAACGCAATGTTGTATACATTAGCGCCATTTTTTCTGCTGACCGTAACAAATAGCTTGACCCCCCCTCCCCCCTAAAGCGTTACGTATTTTTTGAACGGCCCCTAATCTACCTTCCCAACCCTGCTTGAATCTTGGGATTCACAAAAATGGCTAAAAGCAATAAGTGAAAATAAGGAAAATAAGACAAAATGAATAGCAGGTAAGTATATAGGTTAAATTAGTAATTTTAATTTTTAACAACATATAGCACACAGCTGAATATATGTAATTTAATTCAATAAAAACTTAAAAGTTCCAACCCTATACTTAATAGTTTTTTTCCAAAAAATATTTCTTCCCGAATGCCTTATATATATATTCATGCGGTCAGGGTGGTCTATTTTTCTAAAAAAAAACGCCAAAATTAATAAATAATAAATTAAAAGTTATTGTTAAAATAAACAGAGTATTTAACTATTAATAGTAATAATAATAATAAAATCCTCAATAAATAGTCTAAATATAATCAATTAATCGTACAATATACATAGTGTGAAGTTTGTTGTGATGACCGTTCGCTTTATAAGTATTGGAAGATTTGCCGAATTTTTGTGTGCAACTTCAAACTCAAAGGCACTCAAAGGCTTGTTGATCAGATGATTAGAGATAACTGATGTCTTAACAAAGAGTCAAAAAAATTACACTACAAAAAATTTGGCGCTGCTCTACTTACATCAGCTATTATCTCAACAATTTTTCCAAGTAATTTTAGATTTAAAAAAATATTTTAAAATATAAAGAAGACATATATATTAATTAATTGTTTCGCCTTAGAATCGTGGTAATTATTTTGCTCTATCAACAAACTTTATAAGAAAAAGAACAATAATAAGTTTTTAGAAAACAACACCACCTCATTGAAAACAGTCAAGTAAAAGTCATTTGATGTTTCAATTTCTATAAATAAATTTTTAAAATTATAGTATAAATTTTTGAAAAGAAGTTGTGAAAGGCTTTAGGTGTGTTATAACGCTATTATATAGTGAACGAGTTGACGAGACACTTAGACACTATTTATGCAATTTCTGTCAGATGACATGTTTATAAACAAGGGTAAATAATTAAAGAGAATTGTTGCACTTGCCCCACTCTATACTAATATAATATTTACAATGTATATTATTTTTTATATTTTATATTATTTTACCAGAATAATAAAAATTAGAGATGAAAACTTACAGATTTAAGCAGCAGGTTAAGCAAAGCAAAGTAAAATAGTCGATTATTCATTGTGAAGACGTTTTATTATAATAATAAATACAGTAGAGTGTTTTTGTTCCATATACATATACTTTAACGCTCTTATATTTATATAGAAAATTTTATCAATAATTTCCTTCTTAATAAAAATGTTCCAATTTTTATTAATCTTCTTATATTAATACATACCAAAAGCGTTGGGAGACATTTAAAAAATGATTAGGCACATAAATCTTTATATTTGTGTTAATCAATTTTATAAATTGCGTATATAATATAATTATAAACTAAATAATGACGCACGAGAATAAAAATTATTTTTTTCTTCATAACCAACTATTTCTTTGATTAAAATTAAAAGTATAAATTTCTTATTTTCTTCTCACTGTTATCACTTATAATTCGATACCTCCGCATGCAAAGAAATCATTATTTATGTTGCTCCTCTAATATACAGCCGAAACCTCATTTTTTCTCCTAAAGTTTTGTCATATTTTTTTTATACATTTTTTATTTAAAATTCAACGTTTGCAATGAAATCTAAATAGAATTTATAATTAGTCGATATTGTGAAAATATTTTATATTAAAAAAAAATCATAAATAAGGTACGTTACGAAAAAAATCCCGTTCGGCTGTTTTAGAGCAACATAGGTTACTTATTTGCATGGAGGTAACAATAAATTTCATTAGGTATATATGAATGTAGAAGAAATAATTTGTAAAAATAAAAAAAAATTAAAATTTTCAAAATAAGAAGAGAATATTAAGTTCTACGTTGGTATATTTCTATATTCGTCAGCGAAAAAAAATATACACATGTTTCTACAATATTTTTACAGTTACATTTTTTACCTGCTACGCATGTGAATATAATATTTATTCTAACATCTCCTTTGAAGATTATTATTTAATTTTTAGTAACATAAAAAATATAAACAATTAAATTATCAAACCAGTTATTTATTAATTAATTTATTTCTTCATAAGACGTAGCTTTTCGTTATTATTTATAATATACTTGATGTATAGAGCAAAATGCGAATTTGTTAATTTCCATTTAAAATTTTTTAAACATTTGTTTAAACAAATAAAAACTTTTTTTATAGTAATAATTAGTTTATAGTATTTATACAATATTTTTGTCTTGTTTTATAAAATATGTAAACATATAGGTAGAAGTCAATATTCTAGTTTAGAGCTTATTTGTATCGGATAAAATTAATTTTTTTTTATTTTTAACGATGAAATTCGAATAATAAAAATGTTTTTAAAAAAAGAAACATCTTCACGATGAGGTGCCAATAGCCTTAGCAATGAAATTCTAATGATGAAGCTTTCAATGTCAAGCAAGGTGCCCTTGACTGACCTTCAAGACAGTGATTCTCAAGTAGATGCTTATGTGCCAACAAACGTAATTCATGAATTTCATCACTCGTCGTGTTGGTCGATGAATTGTCATCCCTCCTTTTGAAATCAATTTAAAAGCCACGTGGTTTGCTCTCAGGGACGTAGTCACTTTTGTGATGATATAGCAAATAGTCCGCATATATATTGTATATGTGACCTGTGACTGACGTATTCCATAAGGAAACTTACCCTGCAAAAAATTGTAGGTTATGTTTAGAAAAGTTTTTGCTTAATTTAAAATTCATTTTTACTTATCTGAAGTCAAAACAATTTTTTATTTATTATTATCTACTAATAAATTAATAAAATAATATTTTTGACATAAAGTAATTAAAGATGAATCTTTAATCAGGTGAAAATATTTCTAAACCTAACCTATAATTTTTTGATTCCTAAAATCCCTAAAATTCTAAGGTTCCTTAATAACCTTAATAAAAGCGTCACATACATCGTCGGTTTTGGGTGCAAAAAGGTGTTTTTTTATTTTAGGTTGTCAGTACAGAATAATAAATTTGAAGAAAAGGTTAAGCTTCTAGACAAATACTTTTTTATTATTATAGTTTTGTAATTTATTATTATATTTATTTTTAGAAAATAATTATCACAATGACACAAAATTAACAGCAATTTCTTGATTTTAGTCTTTAATTTATTAACGTCATATTTTTCAGAAGAAAGAAGTTGAATCGCAATCGCAAAGGGAAGGATAAGCAATATACCTATCATTCTCTAACTCATTCTTCCGTTTACGATTGCGATCCCGATTCCGGTTACGTTTTTCTTCTGCTTTGGCCTTTCCACGTTGACCTAAAGTCATTATTGTTGACGGACTTTAACTCCAATTAGATTCATCATTAAGCTACCTTCCGAACCCTGCTGAATCTTGGCATTCACAAAAATGGCTAACAAGCGAGTGTTTCCTTTTAAATCAGGTCCTTTAATCGTTAGCTGAAATAGTTTTATTGTAAAAGAAATCCTTTAAATATAAAAATGTTAGAAGTTTATTGCAAAAAAGAAAAACGTTTAAATATAGTAACTGATTTCATATTTGATTTTTAAATGAAATCCTTTTATCCCAAAAGGATATAGTCACTTCACGTGTTTTTAAGTTCGTACGTTAAACAAATTTTTTTCCAGTTTGTAAACATAGAATATTTTGTCCTTATTCATTTATATAGCAATTCTGTTTATACTCCTTTATATTATTTATTATAGAAAATTACATTACCTTTCATTTATTTCGAAATTATTAATGAGTGACGATCAATTAAAAAAATGTATAACTTCTATATCATCGGTTTAAAAAATTCTAATTGGAAAATTTGAACAAGAAAAAAAATTGATTTTAATCATTTAAATTTGAATAAAGCGAAGGTAATTTGCACAATTTTTACAATAATTAGGTAGGTATTTATTTATTAAAATAATATTGAATAAATTTAATGATTAATTGTAATTATAATAAATAAATTTAATAAAATAAACAAACAATATTAATAAAAGTTTTGGATAATTATTTAATGATTTATTATAATTATAATAAATAAAATTAAGTAAATTTAATAAAATAAACAATATTAAAAATTTTGGATAATAATTATGATAATTATTTATATATTCGATACCTATAATGTAATTTATTAAAAACTGAAGAATCTAATTCATAACTTTTTAGAATTAAAAAAATTGATAAAAGATTATATATGGAAATTATAAAAGAAATTTAGTTCTTAATTTTACATATTCTACCTGCCTATTAACATTATACATATATATATATTATTCGCAGGCTTGAGTTATTATTATTTTATTTTAAATTTAATTTTAAATATTTTAGTACAAAATAAATAAATTATTGTTATTGTAATTAAATAAATAAATTAATGAATTACTGATAATAAAAAAATAAATAAAACTACTAATAAAATTTTTCTTTTTAATAAACAAAAATCATTTAATAATTAAAGGATAATACTCTCAACCGAGGGGCTATTATTTAAACAACTTATTTAACTTATTTCTATAATTTCGACAAACAATTTTCTTTTTTTGCCTAACTTATTAGAAGATCTTCGGAAAAATGTCCAACAACGTAAATTAATAGTTAAATATTTTTTTAATGAGGTCATCTATAAAGCATGTGATCTTCAGGGGGTAGGGGGGTCTGCAAAATATCATGCTCCATGTTAATCATTAATAAAAAAAAGGCATCATGGGGGGTTAAATTTTCGAAATTCAGTATCACATGCTTTATAATGGATGAGCTAAATTTTTATTTTTATATTACAAAATTGATTATTTAAGAAAATGCGTTTTTTTACTATGAATAACAAACTCTATTGACGGTAGATTAGAGAAATTTTTTTTAACTTAAAATTTTTTAAAACTTTTGAAAGGAAAATTTTAGTTACATTCCTGAAAATGATTTTCTCGATATATTATAATAATACAAGAAATGAAAGTTGAGAACACTAAAGATACAAAGTGCGCCGGCGTGAGCGCAAGAGCAAGAGGAACTTTGAGTTCGTCATTTGCTTTCAGTGTAGATTCACAGTCGTTTTTCACCCGGGTATCTATCAGACCTTGTTCTTATTGTCAAAAAATTTTTAATTTCTATTTCGTTGAAACGAATTTTATCACCTAAAAGCACGTAAGTTGATATTTAATTTTCATTATCTTTTTAATAAAAATGAAAAACTTTTCTTTTCCATGAGAGAAATATTTGAATTCTTATTGAAATAAGTTTAGAAACGTTTTTTTTTCTATTTCAAATACCTCTAACGACCTTGACTGACATTTAGCAGCGTACACGTATACGTATTTATTAATACAATCATCTTCCTGTGATTATTAACTATTACCGTTAATTAGAAGTGAGAAGGGAGAATTTGTTTTTTATATTTATGTTTTTTTGAAAATTTATATATTACTCCTTGTTTTATTAATAAAAATTTTAAAAATAGTACTCCTGGGTTGAGCATGTTAAAGTAGATGTTACGTCAGACTTTAAGAACCCCTATTGGAACGTGAGTTCTGGGGGAAAAAAGCCCCTAAGAAAATATTCAATGTCATGAGCCTGCGCCATATGAAAAATTAGAAAAGATTAGATAAAAATTTGAAGGGGTCTTTTTTATGTCACAAAATGAATGTATTTTTTTATGATTTTTAAAATAATTTCTATATCTTGATTTTAACGAATGAAAAGAAAGTGCAAAAAACAAATTTACATTATTATTTTTAATATTAAGTTATTAATTTTTAAGAAATTAATTAATTAATTAATTAAATTTTTTATATCAATAATTTAATAATTAATATTAACTACTTATATAGGAATAGTTGCTTAACTATATCAGTAATAAGTTATTAATCTTAATAAATTTACTATTATTAATTAATAATTAATATAATTATAATTGCTATAAATTACATTTAAATATAAATATTTAAATTATATTTTAAATACTTTTAGAGAAAAGTAGAAATTTTTTTTAAATTCATAACAATTTAATATTTTACTTTTAAAAAAAATTTGATAACATTTCTTATCACATATTTACCAATTAGAAGAATTAAAGATTTTTATTGTCCGGAATGTTAAAAAAGTGTATTTTTCTTCTAAGCTAGCTTAGGGTATTTTAATTAACTGCTGAAAAACTGAGAATTGAATAGATTTTTATTCTTTTATGGATTAAG